AAGAGCCAAGGTGATCCCTCAAAATGCCTCCTGCACCTGCCGGACCCTGCGTCCCATTAGCTGCGCCATCCACATTGATCTTTGTCCAACCTGCCGGAGGTGGAGTCCACCCAATTTCTCTGAGCGTGCGCTGAATCGGGGCAGAGCAGCGCCCGATGATGTCCGGCGGAGCCATCCAAGCTTTGTGCCATAAATTCGCCTTGATCTTAATTGCCTGGGTCAAGGAGGGTGGCGAAAGGGTCTTGTCACTCCCTTTGAAGACGCCCTCGTTTCTGTTCTTCCAAAGACTCCACAGTGCAATGCTGAAGAAGGCTTTCCAGGGGGTCTCGTTTCTGTTCTTCCAATAAAATTCTGTTAAGCATGGTCGAATCACGGTTGGACTGATATCAAATGAAATATTAAATTTACCCCTCTTTATGGATTATCTTCTGTCTTCAAATCCCATTAATTAATAGCCGCAATCCCATCCTCCATCCGTTCCAGTTTCTCTTCCTCCGATCAAACAACAATTAACCGTAAAAACTTTTGTCTGTCACGAAAGAAACTTTAAGACCGACATTTGAATTTCAACCAAACTCTCTGAAAGTCCTCAATTTTTTTATCGATTCGACTCAATCATCAAAATTGGAACCCAAAAATTGTATATTCGAATTTCAAAACTATCAAAACTTGTCAACCAGGTTTAGCCCCTTGGCCCAATCTAGTAAGTGGATTGAGGGTTAATTATCCGATCATTATAGTCCGCTTTTGTCCGAATATATGAAAAATTCATTATATTGTTCATACAGACATTCAATTATAAATTATATAAAATTTCATCTATATATGGAATTATACAATATTACACCAACAAAACAATACGTACTTGGAACAAAACACATATGCTAAATGTAAATACCTATGGTAAACCAAAAAAATTGTTGTCTATCAACCAAGTCAATGATTCGTTGTAAGAAAAACAATAACTATATAAGCCATTAAGCCATAATTCATAAATTGATGTACAAAACACACGGCAGCAACAACAATGGATTTGTTAGTATACAACAACAGAAAAATACATTACCGCGGTAAACTCTAGAAAGAGTAAGAGCTGAGGTTTCAAAGAGCTATGAAAATGGCTCCAAATTTATGCACAAAACAAACTTCCTGATTGTGGTAAATAGGCTGGGGGATTATGCAGGTACAAATGGCTTAGGGTTAACAATTAGGTGAACTAATTGCCACTTTTTAAAATATTGAATTGCTGAAAATCAGATGGAGGACAGGGATGGAGGATATATTTATTCTATCCTAGATATATACATGAAGGAATTGTCAACATGAATAAGCTTTAGCAAACTATAAATTATGTCCTCATGCATTATTCACATTATCCGCAGTTCCGCACAAATAACTATCCCCTGAATAACAATACAAAATTATTAATTAAAAACCTGATTTCCAGTTGATATCAGACAAAACATCCATTGTTCCATGAAGTAATTGTTTACCAATATCGTTGGGTACACTGATGGGTGGGTCTCCATTATTAGTACACTATAACGTCCACACAGCAATCTCCAAACACTAAAGTCTAGTGCACCAGTTGAATACAGGACCTGCATACAAAAACAAATCAAAGTTAAGAAGGCAATCCTTTACAGGTCTACATAACCCAAACTCAGTTGTCGAAATCACTTGAAAATTAAGAAGGTATGCCACAACCATAAACAATTATACATAATCATTTGCCACTTTAGAAACACACATATATCGAGTAACCTTTATCTTAAAATCCATTTCCTTGTATTTATGTAAAGCCATAATGTCAATGAAACAAACTGTTTGGATTAAAGAATCCCCTTATAATGGACTTGACAGTGGAAAACATATCAAACTTACTGATTCACAGTATTGCAGATGAAGTCCAGACAGCCCAGCTACAAACTCATAGGTAAAGGAACACTGAGGTCTGGAGTCGCTATTACTATTTCAGTATGCAATCGGTAAGTGATACAATTCTAATTGAGACAAAAGTGACGGTGCCAATTGTAAACTCTAACCTGCGATGCCTACTTTTTTATGAAGTCCGTTGCAATCGAACTTAAGAAACGGTAGCAACAGTCGGAAAGAGAGAATTAATCATCGACATTGAACTTAAAGAGCCCCTTTTCTTAAATAATTGACATTAACAACTTACACAGATCAGAGCAACATAGTAAGTTGTATCGCAACCTAGCCTTCGTTGTAGTTCTCGATGAAGAGCATATATAGCACATACCCTTATTTTCAAGACCTTCAAGTGGTTACTGGCACCAGATTAGTTCCAATGCATTTATATCCCTTCTAGGCTCATGATGAACCTCTTTTATATGTAAGCTGGTTTGTGTTGTAGATTAATGAACCCAACATTCTGAATGTGTTGTATATAAAACATAGATTAAGACCGCAAACCTGCAATAACAAATAGAATGAGCTCGGGTATCACTCCCTTTTCTTTGTATAGAAGAGTAATAACAAATTACAAAAGATAAAGAAGCATAGTAAGTGCCCTGAATATTAAAGGGAAGGGGATAACAGAGGTAGCGCTAGCTTTGAAACAAACAAAGCTAATCCATCACCTGCAGAAGAAGAGCAACACAACGGCCGAATTGAGAACCTAATCCCAGGTGGTCATAAGTGAAAATTGAGGAATACATCAAATGCAACAAACATATAACTAATTCACAGAGCATGGAGAGGTCCTCGAACCCAACACACCAGTCTAGAACTCCTTGTTGTAAACCGACACAGACCTATCCATCAACTACAGAAGAAGAGTACAACACAGCGGCCGAATTGAGAACCCAATCCCAGGTGGTCATGAGTGAAAATGGAGGAATAAATTGAATGCAACAAAACTATAGTTGATTTGCAGAGAACTGAGGTTCTTGAACCCAACACACCAATCTAGAAATCCCTGCTATAAAACCCACACAGCCTATAACTGAAATTACCAGATAATAGAAGACATTAGTTTAGAATTTATTATAATCGTTGCATGAAGGAAGGAAGAGAATGGAAGAATAGCCAACCAAATTAAACATCAAGCTCGAGCGACCAGTGAGAACAGATGTGAATAAGATGTGAATCAATGAAACAACAGTAAGAATGCAACACCAACCCAAATGTGAATCAGATGTCCCATCCCATAACATATATATTAGATGAAGAAATCGGAGAATGAAGAGTGAAGTACTTGAACCTTGGTGTTCCCGAAAATGTTGAATTCAATAGTAGGACTGGGGACTTGAGGACACAACGACTGTCTAGTATGATACAAAAAGCCTTCATGGTAGAGCGACTCCATTTGCAGTTCACCACGCAGCATTTCGCGACGGCGTAGTAAGCAGCTTCCTCCATAGTTGTTAGGGCTCTGCCATTGATGAACACAATCAGACTTTAATCTCCTACTGCTCCCCCAAACCTCTGATTCACCAAATTCGCCACCGACTGGGTCTCGCCCTCCACTTCTCTCACGTCTTTCCCTTTGCTCCCTCCCGGATTGCAAATCTGGACCAGCACCACGCTGCCTCTCAAATCCGGATTATACTCCAGCAATCTCCCCATTGCCAGAAACTTAAGGCTGGTCCCTTTGAAGATATCCAAATCGCCAACCCCAACAATCAAAGTCTTCCCTTTGACCTCTTTCAGCTCCTTCACCTTCACCATAATCTCCCCGCCGTTTCAGATGCGATTCCAGTTGGCCCATGTGAAATTGTGAATCCCCACCTGCAAGATTTTGATACACACAGTTCGCTCAAAATACTCCAATCCGATATACCCTCTCTTCAACTCGTAATCCAGTCCCAACATTCTGATACAGCAGGACAAGAAATGGCGGGCGTAATCGAATGCATGGAATCCTACCAAATCACAATTGAGCAAGGCCCGGCGAGTCTCCTCCCTCACCGGAATCATCCTATACATTTCTGAGGAAGGAAATGGGATGTGAAAAAAGAAACCTAATACTTTTTCCTGACAAAAGTAGGGAGGAGCAAGAGATGTCATCGTGGATCCACACCTAATCCTCATCCGAGTTCAGCACTTTTACCACTCTATGTGCAAAGATTTTGTTTTGAAATAGAATTATAAATAGCGGTAAAGCCATCGCTAGCAGTCCGTCAAATGAAATTGGGGGAGACGAATGCGAACGAAAGGCTCAGAATAGAAAAGTTTACCTGGCGTTTGGTATTGATGACAGCGTAGAATGCGACAATGACTTTGGCTCAAGGATAGTGACGAAATTAGAAATGGCAGGCAGTGGGTGTTTAAGCGGAGCGCCCAATTGGGTTTGAAGGTACCCAGTCTGCCAGCTGCAAGGGAGTTGTGCTTGTCGCCGGAGATCAAAGCCTCGCACGTCGACAACCTCTTCGCCGCCGAGATCGGCCGCTTGCACTCCCAAGCGCGATCTCCCCACTCCCAAGGACTTCCGTTAGCGAATGGCACCGTCGACTTTCTTATAATTAGGGATTTCGGTTGTCAATTGTTTGAAATTGGGGATTTTCTGTCGGTATTGGTTGTTGAGTACACCTGCGTTGGAAGCAGGTGCGGGGAGATTGGAGGCAGTTTGAGGCTATTTCGGTGCTTTCAGATGCGAGAAGAACAGATGAAGAGGAAGGAGGAACGTTCCAAAGAAAAACACAGAGGAAGAATGACGGTTGCAGTCGGCGAAATATTTACATTAATCCCGCCTAAATGCTCTGCCACGTCAGACTCCTACTTTCACTCTACGGGCAGGGAAATTTGAATGGGGTTTGCAGTTTTACTTTTCAGTTATAAATTATACTGTTGATTTGTGAGAAATTATGGGCCTGAAACAACCCAAGTGTGGAGCAAGCTGCTGAGATTGGGAAAAGCCTTCGAAGTACATATCAAAAGGCCATACAGTAGGCCTGGAATTATAAGCCCAAACCCATTTCACGACCTGCAAAGAAAACGGCAGTTATTATTATCCGTCTATTTATCTTCTTTGCTCCGCAACTCGCGAGCTGGATGAAGTTCGAACTTGGAAGTTGGAACAATGGCGCAAGTGCTTTCCCTCCAAGAAGTGTTTCATTCTGCTGACACACGCCACGCAAGACCAGCCAAACCACCGCAGAGGACTACCCACAAGTTCAAGACGTCAGTGTCCGTCCCTAAAAGGGGTAAACCTTTTCTCAGTGCTTTGCTCAAAGAGAGAAATTAGAATGCAGAAGAAATGGTATTCCTTGGCAATCATTCTTGCTGGTTAGCTTCTTCAGAGTTTGATTCCGGTAATGTATATTGTGGTTTCCAGGTGCTGTTACTCCGTTAAGAAAAACCCACAAATTGAATTCGGATGTTTCGCCCCATAGAGCTGGTATTCACATGAATTTCCCCCTTATTTATCCAGTATATAATCTGAAAGAATTGAAGAGTTGTCCAGCGTTACACTTTTTTTTTTTTTGCAGTGTCTGCTGTAAGGTTGATGAGAATAGAGATGGGTGGTGCATTTGCTGATTTATTGAATGAGAAGGGGAAAGGTTCCGGTGAGAATGAAATGGGATATGTGGGAAGAACTCTTGGATTTCGTACCAAGGACTTAGATGACCGGGATCTTAGACTGGTATCTTTCACACTTGGAAGTGTTACGTTTGAGAAGTAAATTTGAAGTGAGAATTACAAAGGCTTGTTTAGTACAGACGTCCATTTTGTGATTCACTCTGTGATGGGACGATGCAGGTTACAGATGTTGTTGGAGGTACCATTCGCTGGAGGAGGTATCTTGATCATTTAATTTGCTCATTGTGTCACGACGAGAGAGTATTTCGGAGCATGGAACCTCTTCTCTTGCAGGTAGTATGAATTGCATATGCTGTTCGTGAACAATTGGTTTCATAAATTTTATAATCATTTCTGGATTTGCTGATTTTTCCTTTCATATACCTTGGTATGACACTTTAGATCTTTCTTATCAGTTGCACAGTTGCACTTCTACATATATTGACAATTTTGTGTAAGTGTACATTGGAGATGCGGTAGCTATTATTGCTACTGACTTAGGTACTCCTTGTGAGGTTGACAATAATCTGGCGTAGACCAGATCGTGCACCTCACCAGAATTATCAATTACCAATTTACCATATACTCCAAGCTCACAATGAGTACCAAATATGCCTATTGCAGCAACATAAAACCACCAGATGCTGTTTAGAGTACTAGAACTAGCTAACATAACATTATCTGCCCCATGCCTTTTCAGATTCTTCGAATTGGATTTTATGAGATTCTCAAGCTAGACATGCCACCTTATGCTGTTGTAGATGAGGTAAACTTGTTGCACCCTTTCTCTCCCTCTCTTTTTTCTATATTATTCTCTTCATTTTTCTTATGATGTTTTATCAATTTGCATGTTTGCCTTTACAATGCAGAACGTTAGGCTGGCAAAAGCTGCACTGAGACCTGGTGCCGGTAATCTGGTCAATGGCATTCTGAGAAAGCTATTGGTGGTAAAGGTTTGTGCCTCCTATTTCTCATCATGCAGAAAGGGAAATTTATTGCTCTTCATGGTTATCTAGGATGAGATGGTCAGAAGTTTCTGTGCTACTAATTTTTCAAAATTGCAGGATAATGACTCCCTTCCTCTACCCAAAGTAGAAGGTGATGATCGGACGCAAGCTCGTGCTCTAGCCACCATTCATTCTCATCCTGTGGTGAGTTAGTTCAATGCAGAACTTGTTCTATGACTTTATTTACTGTAGTGTAACTGCAGGAAGACGTTATATTTTGTTGGACAACAGAATTGCGTTGTTGTGTTAGCTCACAAAGTTGATAGTCAGGACTTGGGAGATTTTGCATAGCTCCCTGTAATTTGCTTGACATGATAAGAGGGAATGCCTGTAACTTGTCAGAAGATTGTTATTTTGTTCTTTAAACTATTAGATGAAAAGAGTTTGAGTGAAAGGACAATCATGTAATCTGGACCCAGGATGACATTTCTAATGTCCATGTTCTTTGCCCTTGGTAGTGGATGGTAAGGCGTTGGACAAAGTATCTTGGACAAGAAGAAACAGTTAGGTTGATGGTTTGGAACAACAGTGATCCCAGTTTCAGCTTGAGGTTGCCCACTACTAGTCAGTTTGCTTTCCTCAACTTTGGTTACTGAGTGCTTCCAATAACTATTTCTCATAAATTTTCCAGGGCAAATTGTGGAAAAGGATTTTCAAGAGATGACCTTGTGAAGCAACTTCAAGTTTTGAAGGTACTTGATCTGTATTTGCTCGTTGGTATTAATGCAACAAAGAACATCATCTTGGATTTCCAAAGGAAGGTGCATCATCATAATCTATAGCATTATATGAGAAGGATTGTTCTCTAAATAAGGCAATACCTTAAAAGACTACCACATATCTGGTCTCCTGCAGTAGTTAGTAACTTAGTAGATACTTTCTTTTGAATCATTGATTTCCAGGCTTTGAGTTGCAGGTACCTCATGAGCTGTCTTTGCATTTGGATGATTTTGTTCGCATCAGAACTGGAATGCAGGTATTTCACATTGGTCAAAGCTGTATTGACCAAGTGTTATTAAGAGACTATCGATGTCCAGGGCTCTGACAACGTATAGTTTGTCTTTTCTCAGGCTGTTTTACAAGCTGGATTGCTGAAACAAGGTCTATGTGCAGTTCAGGACGAGAGTGCAGGTCATACATACTCTGCTTATCTTCTGGAATAGGTGGTGAAGAAGGAAAACGAAAATCAATAAGTGTATTGTTGCTAGAGATCATCAGCATCTTTTGAACATATAAGAATAAATTAACTTAAACGATTAATTAACTCTTTCTCTACCTGCATTATAACATGTCCTAAACGATTGATGACATTGTCAAAATAGATGTGAAGTTCCAATGATAATTTGATCGACCACCATCATTCTGCGGAAACAAAAACTTAGGAAGGATAGAGGAAGTTAACAGAAGATACAAAGTGTCTGTTAAAGCTTCAATAGCATTTCTCCATCTCCTTTCTTTGGGAGCTATCCTTCACAGTTGTGCCAATTTTTTGCAGGAATGGTGGTTTCAGTTGTGGATCCTCAACCGAATGAAACCATAATTGACTGTTGTGCTGCTCCTGGAGGAAAGACTCTTTATATGGCTGCTTTGATGAAACATCATGGTATTTCACTTCTAAAAGCTCATTGTTTCTTCCATATAAAAAGCTCATTGTTTCTTCCACTTAATATGGATGCCTCTTTCTCATCCAATCAGATGAGCAGCTTCTATATAACAGTTTCTTATTCCTCATGCTTCAATTTCTCTTTTCTTTGTGTGTGTGTGTGAAAAACTCTAGTTTCTCTTTGTTTTCGGGAGATTGCTTTCACTAGTTTCAAAGTGAAAAGAATACCTCTTTACTCGTCGAGCATGTGGGGATATTTTATGTCTTGCAGGCAAGGTATATGCAATTGATGTGAACAAAGGTCGGTTGAGAATTCTTAAAGACACAGCGCAAGTGCATCAAGTTGATGGAATTATCACCACAGTGGCTGCTGATCTTCGAACATTTGCTGTAAGTCATAATCAGAGTGAAAATTGAAATTCTTAAGAAGAGAAATAAAAGAGGATAAACTGTAAACGTAATGCCTCTATATCTTAATGTAACTTTTAGGAGGAAACAAAAGAGAAATATGACAAAGTTTTGCTGGATGCTCCGTGTTCCGGGCTTGGTGTTCTATCCAAGGTATGCTTTGGCAATTGACCTCCGTAGTGCTTTATGTCGAGTGCTTTACTCAATCTGTTGGTTATCTGGCAAACAAAATGCTCCTTTCTGAGATGACTTGTGCCTTTTGAAGAGGGCAGATTTGAGATGGAACAGGAGGGTAGAAGATTTGGAAGAACTGACGAATCTGCAAGATGAGCTCCTCGATGCAGCTTCTACGTAAGATACAAAATTGGTAGCTCTCCCTGTCATATGGAGGGACAGCTCGGGATTCCTGCTTCTGATACGTTTCCTGTGTCGTCACATTCACATTGCAGGTTGGTGAGGCCTGGTGGAGTGTTGGTATACAGTACCTGCTCCATAGATCCAGAGGAAAACGAGGAAAGAGTGGAAGCATTTCTCCTCAGGCATCCTGTAAGAAGCCGGGCCATTCACTCTCTCCCTCTGGTGGATTGTGCATATGATTATCAATACTGCTACATTTTCAACACTTGCCACTGACCAATTCATTCATTTCTGTGGACAGGAATTCAACATCGATCCAGTAGACAGATGGATTCCTGCAGCATTTGTAACAAACCGGGGTTTCTTTGCCTCCAACCCAGCGAAACACTCAGTGGATGGAGCCTTTGCAGCTCGCCTGGTGCGTGCCTCTGTAAAACCAACATCATAAATAAGAGCGGTCTCTGCAGCAACTGGAAAGCTGCCTCCATCTTTCCCCTACATCTCTCCCTCTCTCTGGCCACTCTGTACAGAGGGAGGACAACAGTGCATTGTTCCTCTGCAAAAGATAACTGGCCTCAGGAGCAAAGAAACATTATGACTTATGAGAGAGGAGAAAGTTTGAGCCTTTCCCTTTGGGATTCCTTCCATGGTGGAAAGGGTTTAGGGCAGGCTGCTTGCTAAATGAATCATCCGAGGAAAAGAAGTGCACTTTTTGTATATCCAAAGATCACTGCCCACCAAGACAAAACTGCCAATCCAGCATTCAGAGAAAGTATTGCTTGTAATTTGTAAAGTCACCAATACAACAATAGGGTTCATTACCTACAACCTTGTGATTTCTCCATTTGTGCTTTCTCCGGATTTGGAATTGGAAATAAGCAGGGGAAAAGAAGCAATTTTTTCTTCTTTTGATTCAGAGAAAAAGAAACCCTGTGACTGTGAGTTGTTTTGTGTTCTCTCGTCGGAGTAAAAGTAGCGGTGAAACGGCGTCGTAGTTCGATGGCTTTACTTTGGTGAGTCGTCTTCTTCCTCCTCTAAACCCTGAGAAGTGAGAACCCAAACCCATTTACCCACCGCGCTGCAAAAGAATATGGTCGGGAGGCGAAGATGAGCAAGAAGCAATGGCTGCCTCGGCTCTCAAGTGCCCTTTCACGGGCCTACTGTTCCTCGTCTGCTTCTTCCTCCTCATCGTCGACTTCGTTCCCTCTCAAACATGTGACGAAGTCCAACTTCGAATCCGCGCTCGCCGAGCTCAGAACCCATGTCCGCGCCGCCGATTTCGTCGCCATCGATTTAGAGATGACCGGCGTCATCAGTGCGCCATGGAGGGAGTCCTTCGAGTTCGACCGCTTCGATGTTAGGTACCTCAAGGTCAAGGATTCCGTCGAGAAGTTCGCTGTCGTTCAATTCGGCGTTTGCCCCTTCCGTTGGGACTCTCAACGGCAATCCTTCATAGCTCACCCGTAAGAAACAGCTCCCCCTGCTTTTCCTCTTTACTTTCTCGAAACTGAGCTCTGTCCCTGAGTCCTTTCCTCGGAGAGAGCTTAAGACGTGTTACCATAAGGGCTCTGCTTATATGGTTGATTGCTCTAGAGTCTAGACATTGTTTGTTTGCTTTTGCTGGGAATGTCTAAACTGATATCTAGGTAGAAATCTATGCGGAAAAACTTGAACTTTGATGGTTTTCTGAATTTGCTTGTGCCACAAATTTGAAATTGGACAGGGTAGTTTAGTTTGGTTTATGACTCTGCTTGGCATGAATCATTTCTGGCAGGCATAATTTCTTTGTATTTCCACGCGAAGAGCTTCTCTCTGGTGGCCCTTCCCATGAGTTCCTCTGCCAGACATCATCCTTGGAGTTCTTGTCCAAGTATCAGTTCGATTTCAATACATGTATTCGTGAAGGTACAATTGCTTTGCTGTCTGTATAGCACAATCAGAACTAGCTAGGGCTCTAGCTGTAGAGCTCTTGCTAGGATGCTTCTACTTTGTTGTTATTTACCACTCTTCGTTAATTCAGGGATATCTTATTTGTCCAGAGGACAAGAAGACGAAGCATTGCGTCGCTTGACTCTCCATGATAAGAGGTTATCAGAATTGTCGAATAACTCTGAAGATGGGGAAGGCACACCGTTGCCTAATTTTACTGATGTTCTATTCATCAACCGAATGAAAGATAAATTGAGCAAGTGGCGTTCTGGTTTATTACAGACCACTAAAAATGATACTTCCCAGTGCCATGACACCTCAACAGATTCGAAGCAACAGTTTCAGACTGTTTTCTTTAAGATGCGCCCAGCTGTCTCTCTGAGTGGTTTCACCTCTCATCAACTTAATTTGACCCGGATGGTGATGCTTCTTTACCATACTCATTTTACTTAACTTGTGCTATCGAAAATTTTGAAGCAGTTCTGATATTGGATGTCATGTCAACTTTCTAAGTTGGAAAGATGATATATTTGCTCTCTGTGCTTGATCCCCATTACTAAGAGTTATGGAGGAATTTTGAACCCTTCCAATATTAATAAACTCATTATCCTTTTATGTGGAATTGGATTCAATAGGTTTTGCTTCTGTTTTGTGCTTGAGGTTTTAAGACTTCCTTTGTATAACTAAACTTGAAAATCGATTACCTGCAGGTTACCAAGCAACATTTCAATGATCTTGTTTACATTCGTGTCTGTGGTGAAAACTCTTGGTCCGAACAACTTGTTGTGTATACAGACGCAGAGAGTGACAAGGCCTTATTACTGGTAACTTTTATGTCCGTCTACTGGTCATTTACACACGCATGATCGAAAGGTTCAGTTATCTTAGAGTTTTGTTTGGAGATGCTGCTCTTTTATTTTAAACGGGAAATGGGAAGACATGAAATATTTGTAGCTTGCCAAACAGCAATATTGAAACATGTTTGAGAGATAAAAGGACTTCATTAGTTTTATATTTAATGCAGACAGAGGTGAAGAACGAATACCATAGAGATGCAGAGAAGAAGATCAAAGCTGCAATTGGGTTTCGCCATGTTATAGACCTTCTTTCTTCTGAGAAAAAGTTTATTGTCGGTCATAATTGCTTCTTGGGTAAGCATTATTTTTTCTCTACTATAGACTTTCGGGTCATATGTCCTGCTGAGATTTATTAGCTTGTGTAATGCAGATATTGCACATGTATACAGTAAGTTCTTGGGTCCTCTCCCTAGCACAGCTGAAGAGTTTGTTTCATCATTGAACAAGCATTTTCCTTGCATTGTTGACACCAAAATTCTCTTGAATTCAAGTCACTTACTGCAAAAAAGGATGAAAAAAGCAAGCACATCGCTCTCCTCGGCCTATCTTTTACTTTGTCGACAGATCACTTTGGGCGTCGATAACGGATCCAACTCGGGTTCTTGTCCAAGTGTGAAAGTGGAGGTGGAAATGGACGATACAAGGTGCACTCTCTGATTTCTTAGTTCTGTGCAATTTGTTTGCTCTTATTTCCTTGGTTGCCATATGTTGAAACAAACCCAGGTTTAAGCTATTATCCTCTGCAAAAAGTTCTGTTGATGCATCTTTCAAAAGCAGTACCTGTGTTGATGTGTGTTGTTAATTTCTTTGCGCAGGTCCACAGACTGGAATTCAGGAGCCAAACATGAAGCAGGATATGATGCTTTCATGACCGGTTGCATCTTTGCACAGGCATGCCAGCATCTCGGTATTGATTTTAACCAACATTCACCTTCTCCACTGAACTTGGCCCTCAACGAGAACCTCGAGAAGCACATCAATCGCCTCTACTTGAGCTGGATCAATAGCAACATCATCGACCTAGTCACCGGAAAACAGATAGATCCTGTTGGATCTAATAGCAGACCGAGCAAGCGATTCTCGAAGATTGTGTTTGAGAATGTTGTTCTGATATGGAGGTTCCCATCCAAGCTCAAGGCAAGGGAGATCAAGGAGTGCATATGCAAAGTCTTTGGTCCAACCTCGGTTGCATCAGTCTTTCGAGTGGATGAAAGTGCAGTCCTGGTTCACTTCAGCAAGCCGGAGTTTGTTTCTGACTTCCTACTTCTGAAAGAGACATTGGAAGGGAGCAACGATGTGATATCCGCGGTGCATCCCCTGTCGGTGATTCTGGATGGAGGGAAGACTTGCGCTGCAGATTATGAGACGTATAAAGATATATGCAGGTCACCGGTTTCCAGGGCTCTCCTTGCCGATTCAGCAGATGATGTTGTTGGGTTGGGATGGAGGAGGAAGAAGACCATGGATTTGGTAGGCGAGGGACACCGTGGGGATGAAGGAAGAACAAGTGTCGATGAGGAAGAAGAATACGAGTCGAGTGGTAGTTGTTCGTCACATGATGTCGTTGAGGTGGAAGAGATGAGAGCTACTCATATGTGATGATGTGAATGTCATCCTTCCTTCCTTCACAGTAGAAACCAGTTGGGGAAAGGATTGTATTGTATTTATGGAGAACAAATTGAGTGGAATGTTGTGTCATCTGAATTCATTCCTTCTGTAAGGATGTAGCAGTGGTTGAAATCTCAGTCCAGCCCAAGCCCCACGGGCCCAAATTAAAGAAATCAGGCTTGCCGGCGTTCCCCACAAGCCCAACAAAATATAACCGTCAAGCTAACCTCGCCCCACGTCGCCGGCGAAAAAGATAACTGAATCCCCCAACCGCCCAATTTCAAACCGGCGCTCTGTTCTCCTAATTTTGCTTTCTCCTCTGCAATAAAATCCCATTAGCAGCAAAGCAAATTCTTCACTTCCAACCAAAACAGGAAAGATCGAGCACGAAAATGGCAGCTTCAGTTATCCGCTTCTACCGCCTCTTCGCCGTTCTCATCTCCATCTTCTTCCTCTTCTCTACCCTCTCCACCACCCCTGTTTCTTCTCTGCAGTTTCAAGTCGGCGGCAGCAGAGGCTGGGCGGAACCACCCGCCGACGGCGACAACTACTACGACCAATGGGCTACAAACAACAGGTTTCACGTCGGCGACTGGCTCAGTAAGTCACACCACTAATCAACTTCCTTCCTCATTTCCCCCAAATTTTGAAACTTCTCTTTAATCCTATTCCTCCCAGATTTCGTTTACAGGGGTAATGAATCCGACTCGGTGCTGCTCGTGAACTCAACCGCCTACTCCAACTGCATTGTTTCCGACCCAATTCTCCAACTGAACGGCGGCGGAGGAAATGCCACATTCCAGTTTGATCGCCCGGGGCTGTTCTACTTCATCAGCGGCAAGGCCGGAAGCTGCATTGCCGGCCAGAAGCTAGTGGTTCGAGTCATGGCAGAGAAGGAAAAGGATGAAGGAGCACACCACGATCACGATTACGGGCCGAGCCCTGCGCCGGGTGTGAACAACAACAGCGATCTAGTCTGGGACTGGCCGCCGGCCGTGAATTCAACCGTCAAGATGACCATCGCCTCTTACTTCATCACTGCTCTCGCTGGCGTCCTAGTTATTCTCTACTTGCTGATGTAGTAACAATTAATTAGTAGCTGTCTTTTTCACTGATTACCTGTTCAACTGCGTCAAGATCCACACTTGAACAGTCTGGATTCATATGCTTTTTCATATATCATTATCAGCAAATCCCTATTGAACCGCAACTCTCAACTCTGCTTCTGGGCAGAGATTACTACAGACGTGTGCATCATAACCGCACAACTCTGGTTTCAACAGGTAGTTTGCTACCTATATCAACACAAAAAATGCATAAAGATTGAAACTTGGACAATGGATTGAGGAGTTTTATTATCAGGAACAATCCGAAATGTTCGAATTAGATTCTGGGTAGAGACCAGATTTACAGTTTCAGTTCATTACAAACACAAACACTATGTTTGAACTCTCGGTATCTACAGGCTGCCTTTCTTCTTCTTCTTCTTCCAAATCTCTGATCACACTACCAACTCAACAAAAACAAAGTGATTGAAAGAATCAAACAATCAAGTATAGTACACTAGTAATAACCAGCTGTAGAGCAGTGTGCAGAAGAATCTCTCATCTCTATTCACAGTCAGAGGTAATATCCTCAAGAGAAAGACTCAACCCACAGGAGAAAGTGAGAGTAGGCTTACTCTTAGCCACAGCCTTAACTTCAACTTCCCCATTCAACATCTGAAGCACTCTCCTCATCGTCGGCCTCTCGCCGCTATCCGGATTCGCACAGCTCAATCCAATCATCAGCATCTTCCTCACATCCTCAACCTCAAACTCCCCCTTGAGCCTCTCATCAGCAGCTTCCAAAACTTTCCCTTCACCGTACAATCCCCAAACCCAATCCACCAAATTCACCATCCTCTGGCTCTCCGCCTCCCTCTCAATCGGCCTCCTCCCGCAGGCCAATTCAAGCAACACGACTCCATAACTGAACACATCCGTCTTCTCCGTCGCCTTGCCGTAGTGGAGATACTCCGGCGCCAGATACCCCATCGTCCCTGCCGTCAGGGTCGAAACAGGGCTCTTGTCGTGGTCCATCAGCCTCGCCAATCCGAAATCGCCCAATCTCGAGCTGAAATTCGCGTCCAGCATCACGTTGCTCGATTTGATGTCCCTGTGAATCACCTGCTGCTCGCACTCCTGGTGTAGATACGTCAGGGCGGAGGCTAGACCGACGGCGACGTTTCGCCTCTGTTCCCACGAGAGGAGCACTCCTCCGCCGCCGCCGTCGTGGTGGAGGGCTTTGTCGAGGCTGCCGTGTGGCATGAGCTCGTAGACTAATAAGAGCTCGCCCTTTTCCACGCACCATCCGAGGAGCTGGACGAGGTTCTTGTGGCGGAGGCCGGCGATGATGGTGAGCTCGGCGAGGAACTCTGTTTTCCCTTCCTCGTGAGCGTGTTTGGACCTCTTGACGGCGGCGATTGTCCCCGTGGAGACGAAGAAGGCCTTGTAGACGTTACCGAACGCGCCCTTCCCGATGATTCTGCTGGAATGGAACCCTCTCGTCGCCGATTTCAGCTCTCTGTAATTGAATTCCTTCGGCCTCCCTGCCGCCACCAGCTGCTCTGCTTTCTCCGCACCTTTCGTCTTCTGCCATTTCTTGACCGAGATGAACCCGAAAACCACGAGGCACGCGCAGAAGAAGGACGGACCGGCGATTCCCAGCCCCAACCCGAGCTTCTTGTGGTTCTTGTTTCCCGAATCGGAAGATGGAATCTCCGGCGAGGGGATGGTGATCGAATTGTCGGAGACGTTGTGTGGGGGATTCGTCGATCTGGGTATCAGCAGAGCTCCTTCTCCGGTCAAATTGAAGCTCCAGCTGTGAATCGAGTGGAGCTCCGTGGAACCTTCTGTCGACCCGGAGAATCCAACATACACGTTCCCTCGCAAGTACTCGGAGAGGTCGACGTCGTCGACGGAGAGAAGAGGGGTTTCCGGTTTGGGGGAAATCGAGAAGCTCAAGAAGACATCCAAGATTTCAGCAACGTGGTCGTAATCGACCCACGCGGTGATCTGCTCGCCGCTCTTCAAATCGATCCCCTGCGACAGGGGATCCGCCGTCTCGACCGAAATCAGGCTGTCGATGTCGAGCCCGACGTGGTTCTCGCTCGGGTCGGCGAAGTGGGGGTCGACCCGGGTGTCGAATTCGACGGCGACGAACTTGTTCTTGGTCAGCTGGGTGGCGTTGACGAGGCCTAGGTACCCGCCGGCGCTGCCGAGGGTGTCGTTGTCTCGGGAGAGGAAGAAGGCGAGGCCGTCGCCGAAGGAGCTCGGGTTGACGTTGCCGATGGAGAAAGTGAATCGGGTCGAGAAGGACGCGGCGGACGGCGGGGCGGATTCCGGGTCGGAGAAGGGGATTGGTTCGTTGTAGACGACGGTGCCGGAGCTCGAGGTCGGGACGGTGACGTCGCGGGTGAGGCCGACGGCGCCGTTTCGGAGGTAGGAGTCGCCGAGGAGGGTGAGGTTGCGGATGGACAAGGAAGGGAAGTCGAATTCGAAAGTGTGGTTGCCGAATCCTCCTGGGGCGGCGGCGGCGGCGGCGGCGGCGGAAGTGAGGAAGAGGAGGAAGAAGAGGGTGGAGAAAGGAATCATCGATGGGAATCGAGTAAGAATCTTGTTTGGAGATTCAATTGGGCTATCTTCTTTTCTCTCTGGGTAGTTGGGGATTCAAGACTGTTAAGAGAGCAGTTCTTGGAGTGGGAATCAATGGAGGAGCAAAGGGATAGAGAAGAGAAGAGTGGCGGTGGGAAAATGGGGGGTTTAAACGGAAAGAGAAGATGGGCGCGTCGGTGATTGAAAATTGAAATATATAAAAGGGGGGAAAAGAAACCTTTTTGCAGCGCCAAACGACGTCGGAACAAGAAGGGTGTTTCCATGAATTGACTGGGTCTGGATATCGGATAAGTGGGCCTTACAGTTGGATCCAGTCAGGAGCTCGGACTTTATTGGGCCGCACCCCATGTTCCTGCACGAAGAAAAAAAATCAAAAGAGACCGTTATTTGAGTTCGGTGGCTTCCTCTTCGTTTTTTTAGTTGCTTCAATGAACATTCTGAGCAGGCGTTGAATTCCATGGAGATTAGTTTTAATGAGGGGCGGTGAATTTTGAGCAGAAAGAGAAAAGTGTTACAGAAAATATACACAAGTGTCGCTGGAACATGAACAAATCCAAGAACATGTGACTGTGAGGCTGATGTGAATTGAATAATGTAGAAGTAGAAGGAGAAGGATGGAGGCAGGCATGTGATGTTAAGGTTTCGTGGGCCCAGGTCCAGCCCACTAATGCACTATCTTTATGTTTGTTGTAATCCACATCAGATATAGCCGTTACAAAGCCAGACAAAATCTTTCACTGCCTTCACCAGGACTTCTGAGGTCATATATAATGAGACATGGTGGTTTAGAATCAAAATGTAGGAATTCTTAACATGAAAACTGAAATCTCCAGGAGACCATCGGTATCAAAGACTAGAGAGTTCTGCAACAGCAGATTGTTCTGAAGGGGAATCATTCACCACGCATCAAGAAAGAAATAGCAGAAAGACAATGGAAAGAGAGATTACCTGTAATAGCAGCAGCTACCTACCATACAATATTGTTTTTATATTTACCTCTTCTCCAATAAGCCAGAGCTAGCATTTACCGACTCGTTTCTCCTCGACAGATTTGGCTTTCCTGAATCTCTTCTGTATCACTGTTCTCTTTAAGCTCCATTTATATAGGGACCATCGTACTCTTGCACATTTCTGACAATACAAGGTCACTTCATAATCTGTTTCTACAACTCCAACTCTGGCACATTTTGATCAGTGGCAATCAATCCACAGAAGCGGAGAATGGTTTTGATATTCTGATGGATTGCTATTCCTTCCCAAAATTAGAGCTTTTTCATCTGCATATTGTTTTCAGTTTTCAGTACGAGTGAGAACGTCTGTGCTTCCAAAATACATTCTATCAGGATCTTGAGATGAAACTTGGCCCTCCTCGGATAGTGATATTGGACAATGGCTTAACTACGTTCCAGCAATTGGACTTATGTTGTACCGGGTAAGGGCTGAAACTCCAGTGATGTCAAGCTTGAAGCAGTATACCAGGAATACTTGGTCTATCGCCAATCTTTACGTGCCTTTGTTGAGGCGATGAATGAACCCACGAAGAAATACATACATGCTGATTCTGATAAAAGACAACTTTAGCCTGATCTGTACAGCGTTATGTTACTCGCATTAACAGAAACAAAGGAGCCCTACCCAAGATCTTGAACTGAATCCTTCCAAGGGTTCTCCTCGCTTTTCCTGGCTATCGAACCCCTTAACGAAGACATAATCGGCAGCAAGCTGTGCCGTTCTCATTGTTGAACAGAAGCTACTTCAGTAATATACAGGTACAAGATTCACCATCGCACTGTAAGGGATTGTTTCTCTGATAAGTGCCTTTCTCATCCTTGATGTCAGAGTTAGAAGTTCTGTAAACTTCTACGTCATCAAAATCAAATTTCTCTAGCTGCATTGGCATGTCATCTTTGCCTGCTGACCATGAGTTAACTTCAGTGCTATTGGAAACCAAGCCAGGAGATTCTATGGCCTTTTCAGGTGGAACGGCTCCACATTTTTCCGAGCTGACGATGGTGCTTTCAGCACATCACCCTCTTTCATATGAGTGGGGGGATAATCTGGATTTTAACCCTGGTGACATCAATTGGAACTTTTTCCTCTCACGAAGGCACCATTACTCTCCATTTCTATTTCCCATTAAGGATCTAAAATTCGAACATCTATTAACCCTTTTCCCATAACCTGTTGCCATAATAAGTCTGTTATGAGGATCTGTCAGTGGGCAGCCCCAGTATACCATCTTCAGCACCACTATGAATGGAATTGACCACCTCCAAAGACTCCTCTGCAACATTGGCCTGAAGGCTTCAACATCTAGCGCTTCTGCGCTTGTACCTCCACCCGAATGAACGAACGAACGCCACTAACTTCTGTTTCCAAAATTCTACCAAAAGCCACAGCCAGACTGGCTGATTAGACTGCTGCATTGGCTAGCCAGTAGAATTTCAAACACATCTTCCCTGGCAATATCAGAATATATTTGCTCACGCCAAGAATCTCATATACAGGACCGGGCGGTTAGTTGTCATTCTTTTCCCCTCAAAAGACTCGGTCTCTTCCAGTTCTCTCTTACTATAATATTCATGTCAAATCAGACCTAGCACAGACACCAGGATCAAGCTCATCATTTGCATGAAGTTTTAGCAAAATCAGTACGAAGCCATAGCTTTCGTAAGATATTCAAGACTGAGAACTCGAAGTGGAGTCCGTAATTTCTACAAGGTCGACAGAGCTGTAGTAATTCATCACAATCTGTTCATTTGCACGGCAAAATTCGATTGAGGAATATTCGCAGCGGCAAGAAAGAACTCACCATTTGGATGAAATGGAATAGAGGACGAAAGAGGAGGACAATAGCCATGGGGAGATTCCGCCAAATGACTCGTATGGAAGCGAGATACTGATCGGAGAGTCCAGTCTCCTTGAGCTGGAAAATCATCAACTTATCCCTCACAAAGATCGGCACCAGCAGCTTTTCTGTAGTCGTCATCTTCCAAACTTTCACCGGTTTTACACGATCTCCTCCATTTGAAAGCTCTGTGTATCTCCGTGTGAGGCGGGGGGTTGAGGTCGCCGCCTCGCCGGGGTTAGGAGGGATGCAATTGCAATTCCGATGTACTCTGACGGCGCTGATGAAAAGTCATTTCACATTTGGGCGTGGGTAATGTCCTGACCTGCAAGATAAAGTAAAGTAGAAGGACCAAAAGCAAAAAAGTACTCAGCGATGACTTGGCCGGTTGGCCCCCTACGTCGAAAACGATGCCGTTTCCTTCTTCGCAGCTTCATCGTCGTCTTCCCCACGCTTACGGTTCCACTTTTCTTCAAGCTTTCTCTCAAATATCTCCACTAAAAATCGAGACAGTGAATGGCTGAATGCGTTGAATAAACACAGCGGCGAATCGATCCGCTTCCTTCCAAAACGGAAAATTTACCTTCTCGGCAGCGATCTCGGCTTCACCTTTCCCTTCAAATCAACTGCAATGGAGTTTCCGCTGCCGATGGACAAAGTCTCTGTTTCCACCGAGTACCCTTCAAATTTCTGCTCGCTTACTTTCTTATCGTCAATTTGGTCTCTTGTCTGGTGATTTAACTTGTCTGCTCTATTGGGGAGAAAACAAAGCAGGGAGGACGGCAAGGTATCTGTAGTTCTAGTTGCCACCGGAAGCTTCAACCCTCCTACTTTCATGCACTTGAGGATGTTTGGTAAGTTTTCAATGCTTCCTTTTTTCTCTTCTTTTGTTCTTACCCGCATCAAAATTCGACTCCGTGACCGTTAAAAACATGACCTTGGATTGGATTTTGGGTTCAATTGTATGAACTAGAGCTGGCAAGAGATGCATTGCAAATGGAAGGCTACCGTGTGATTGCTGGGTATATGTCGCCCGTCAGCGATGGATACAAAAAACCGGTTTGATGTTTACCTTCTATTTTCCCATCTAGCTGTGAAAGTCAATGCTGCAGCTGATTTTCCCACTCCCTTGGTTGTTTAGGGTCTTATACCAGCTGAACATCGCTTGCGCATGTGTAATTTAGCTTGTGAGAACTCCGATTTTATCATGGTTGATCCATGGGAGGTACTAAATTCAGCTCTGATGTGCAGCAAATTTTTAGCTGATTCTTGACAACAAGGCTTGTTTTAGTCTACTGAATAAGCGTTGTGTTACAGGCAAATCAAAGTACCTACCAGAGATCTTTGACTGTGTTGAAAAGAATTGAAAGCGTCTTCATTGATCAAGTCCGGATATCTGGAGGTAATGCCTCTCTTTGTCACTAACTAATTTTAAGTGAAGTTAAATTGCTTTTGTTTTGGTCGATGTGTGAGAGAACAATGCTGATGTATTTTTAACCCGCGGGATTGTGATCGGGAAGAATCCCTCAAGGTGATGCTTGTTTGTGGTGCTGATCTGCTGCAGTCATTTAGCACTCCTGGGGTTTGGATTCCTGATCAGGTACTGCTTCCCTGGAACCTTGTTGGATTAAGTTGCAGTTAGAAGGTTCATTTGGGTGTAATTGTTCAGATCCTATGATGGCTTATCGTTAACATGTTGTTAGGTAGTTCTGTGGTTTGTTGAAAGCAGAGGTGTTAGTATTTGCACTTTTTTGTCTCCAAATTAGTAAAAGAGTTGAACAATGAACATTGTCTGTGTTGCTTATAGGTAAGGACCATTTGCAGAGACTATGGTATTGCTTGCATTCGTAGGGAAGAGCTCGACGTCAACCAAATCATAGCTGCTGATGAAATCATGAATCAACACAAGGTAGATGATACTAGTCAGTGACCAGGTTTAATTTGGAATGACGCCATCCTTTCCTTCTGTTTTTTGAATGGTCCATTCATAAAAGCCTGAAGGAGGCCCTTCACTGCGCAATCGTAGTTTGAACCTCAGGTGTTTGTTTATCAGTAGCCTCACATGAACTTGGTGTTGCAGGATAACATCAAACCTGTTACTGAAACTGTACCAAACATGATCAGCTCCACAAGACTGAGGTAACTTCAACAGCTTGAATTTCGTTTGTCGAACTTGAACAAAGTCACCCCAGGACCTTGTTGGGATTTAAGAGCACCTCACTATTTTGCTCATGTACAAATTCCAGGGACTGCATATCGAGAGGATTGTCAATCAAGTACTTAACCGCGGATTCAGTTATCAGCTACATCATAGAACAGCATTTGTATTTGGGAAACAGATAAAGCTGCCAGACAGCAGAATATCTAGTGAACTTCAGAGTCCAACTATGTAATATTGCTCAGTCCAGTTTCAAAGAAGATCATAGATGTATCATCGCCTTAAACAGCATGAAAGCTTCCAATGTTCAACTAAGATCATGAATAAAGGTAGAAATCTCTAAGAGGGTTGCTTTTCCTTTCTTCCCATTCCAATCAAAACTTCTCCAAATTGGTTAAAACTCCAATCAAAATTTCTCTCCGACCATTATTTGTAATGAGAATACAGATCAAACCCAGACATCCCATTCTGAGAAGTTCCTCCACCGTCCTCGCCACTCCCACTGCCCGAACCCGACCCGAACGGATCCCTGTAGTACCCATTCAGCACGCCACCATCATACATCCCCTGCTGCTGCTGCTGCTGCAGATGATCGCCCTGCATCAGAAAATTCCCCTGCATATAACCAACCATCTGCTGCTGCTGCGGTGGCAGCGGCGGAGGCGGCATCACCATACCCCCAAAATCATTGGAGCTCCGCTTCAGCATCATCGGGTCCCGGTAAGACGCCCGATCGCCCTCCGTCTCTCGGTACCTAGCGAGGAAGCGCGAAAGCGGCTCAACGTAGCTGTCGAATCCGAGCTTCCCCATTGCCCAGATCACGTCGTCGGCGGTGACAGTCTTCCGCTGCTCGCGCTGGCACCGCTCGTTAGCCTCGCCGGTGACGAAGCTGATGTACTCGGAGACGCACTCCTGGATCGTCTCCTTGGCGTCGTCGGAGATTTTGGCGTGGGCGGGCAGGATCCGCCGCATTATCCGGATCACGTTGGCGATTGGCATGTACTGGTCCTGCTCCCGGAGAGTGGGGAGGGATCGGCGCTGCGGCGGTTCCTGGCCGACAGCGGCTGGGTTCGCCGCCGGGAGGCGGATCTTGGAGGAGGAATCATCTGGAAAATAAAGAGGTTAGTGATTATTAGTTGGGCATTGGGCTTTGAATGTGACAGTCAGTCCGAGACGGAGCCCATCTCTGGGAGAGGCCCACTTACAATAACAAAAAGCCCAACTCATTTATTAGTCAATTTACGGTCAGAGGAGCTTCGTTCGCTTATTGGGCATGCAGGAAGAAAAGAGGAGCGAGTCAGTGGTTCACTGCGTGCATGGCTTCCACGTCATCCAACCCCAAATATAATTTTTTTTTTTAATATTGAGATTAATACACAGCAGAAATTAAAATATGAGTTCTAATTACGTTCTAAACATTTTTTGTTTAATTAGATGGCTCAATCCAATCTGGTTTCTATGGCCCTGCCCATGCAAATATCTCCGGATATACATCTTTACGTTCTAATTCTAACCATATATCTAATCGACATAGCGGATAAATGGATTTTCACGACGTTGATGCACGTATGTGAGAATGAGAACATCCACCGCATTCCAGATCTGACGGTGAAATGTAAACTTGATCGAGGAATCGCTACATACCGGAGACAGCTGGCTGGCCAAGGGCGGCGGCGGCCTCTCTTTGTTTTGCATGTCGACGGCTGCGATTGAGGAACCCTCCACCGCCGCCGCTGCCGCCAGCATCGCCGCCACGTTCCATGCTTCTCCCGCTCTGACGGTGGTTTGTTTAGGAATGGACACTTGACTTGAAGGGAGAGGAGGAGACGATTGGCATTGGGAATCATCAGTTCAATTTATAGCCAACCAAACTACAGAAAAAAGAAAAAAATGATTTTTTTTTATTTATTTATAAGGAAAGAATATGATTGGGTGGTGTGGTAAAAATAAAGTCAAAACAGTAATTAAACTACTGAGCAGTAAAAACTAAAAAGGAAAGACCAGTGGGCGTTTTCCTCGAGAGAGGGTGGGTTCACTTCAGTGCTTCACCCAAGCAGTCACTCCCATTGGCCTGTTGGCTGCCCTTCTTTTACCTTTTCACCCTTTTACCAGGGTTGTTTTGGGGATTTCGGTGGGGGGGAAAACAAAAGGAGAGGTTTTGAATTTGGTGTTATAGTAGTAAAAAGGGTGATTATTTATCCTTGGTGTTTAATGACCCAACTAACACCAACTATGGAAAAGTGGGGGGATGTAATTAATAATAACCCAGGGCCCTATATAACGGTTCTTACTCTCACCACGCCTTTGTCACTCCTTTTTCGAAGTCAATATACGACGATTGTGGGTCAGTAACGCTTTCTTTCTCGAGCAGGATAAGGTAACAATGATTCTTTCAAATAACGAGATTTAATGTTTTGACATGTGAGATGATAAGTTTATACAGGAACAAAATAGATATAGCCTTTATATATAGTAACTAATCGCTTCATTAGTTAATAATTTTAATGATATATGTGGTTGGATATGGCGTCGGTTTATTTCTCTAGTTATTGTAAGGAATTGGTAAAAAGGAACGAGGAATGTATTATATAATCATTCCATTAGTGTACCCGCCATGTGCAGGGTCATAATCTCTTATAGTTCTCACGCTTTACATTTCGGACAAGAACATATTTTCTTATGGAGTTGTTTGGATCGGGAAATCTGGAGAGAGATTTTGCTACAATTTTTACCCTTCATTTTATTTTGTTTGTTCCAACTCTAACCCTTCTCAACCTCTTCCTCTGTGTCCTCTAAGACCTCTACTTCAGCGAATGAATCGCCAACAAAGCTCGACGTTCCCTTCTCTGACGATGAACAGAAGGAGACCCTAACTCTTACTGAGGGGAGGCTTCCTCCTTCATCCGTAAAAACGTTGAACTCGCAAACATATTATGAGTGTTCCTTCATTATGAAATATTTTGGGAGATTGTAGCAGAACCCTCAAAGCCGCAGGGTTGCTCTCTGATTTTATATTAATTATGCGGCTAATTTAAATTAGCTAAGTATCTAGGTGACCATTTCACTGGCCTATTACAAACTCAAGCAGTGATGAACTATGACTAACTACAAATAACTCAAATGACGTAGTTTAGCTATAGTAAACATTAATAGAAACAAAACATTTTTCTTCACCAAAATCCTTTTTCATTTCACGGTCCTTGACCAATATGGATTGACTCTTTCTTCTTCTTTGAAGCAACTATAGTTTTGCTACTCCCCCCCCCCCCCCCCCCAACAATTTCAAGTTGTGGAGATGATTGAAACTTCCAATTGCTGAGTAGTTCTTACAATCTTCCCTTGTCCAATCCCCTTAGTGAACAAGGCTGCTAGCTGGTTAATGGTATTGACATGCTTCCGTTGAATCAAGCTAGGTCTCAGTCTTTTCTTATGACATGCATATCAATTTCGATATGCTTTGTCCACTCATGAAACATCGGGTTCTCTGCCATGTGTATTACAGACCTGTTGTCATAATAAACTGATACTAGAAGTGGGATTTGCACACTTAATTCTATCAATATCACTCTTAGCCATTCAATTTCACAAACTAACAATGCCAATGCTCTAGATTCTGCTTCTGATGATGATACATAAACTGTAGTTTGTTTTTGTTTTCCAAGTATGCAAAGAGCTTCCAAGGAAGCTACAGTAACATGTAGTGGATCTTATGGTGTCAATGCAACTGGCCTAATATGAGTCACAAAACCCAATAAGCTTCAAGTCTTTTTATGCTAAAATGTATTCCTTGGTGCATGGTGATGTTTCAAGGTATCTCAGAACCTTAAAGGCTTCCTGGAGGTACTCACCATGTGGCTACCTCTGGAACGGGCAAAATTGTATACATAGAATATTAGGTCTAGTCTTGTAATAGTAATGTAGTATAGTCTTCCAATCGACCTCATGTACTGTTCAGGATCTTCCAATTGTGTTCCTTGTGTGGTTGAGAGTTTCACCTTTGAATCAGATGGTGTGACATCCCTTTGAATCCATATAACATGTCTCGTTTAATAACTCCAGACAATACTTCTTTTGAAAAACAGCTAATCCTTCAGCTATCCTCTTAACTTTCAAGCCCAAGAAATACTTCAGTGGTCCAAGCAACTTCACTGTAAATCCTTTGCTTAGATACTTCTTAACTTGTTCAATATCTTTTTTTGAATATCTTCTAATGATGATATCAGGGGCATACACCGGTATCATTATTATCCTTCCATGAAAGCATCTAGTGAACATTGAATAATTTGATGTGATTTAGTGAAACCAGACTTAAGCAGAAAACCAGCCAGTTTAACAAACAATTTCCTTGAAGCTTGTTTTATCCCATAAAGGACTTCTTCAACCTACAAGCCAGTCTTTTGCTAACAGAATGAGGTAATTCAACACCTAATGAAAATTTAATGTAAACAACTTCATTCAGATCACCATGCAGAAAGGCATTGGAAACATCAATTTGCTCTTAAGTATAGTTATAATAGCTTCTACGACTAATAGTGCCTTTACTAAATTAAGTTTTGAAATTGTAGAGAAAGTATCAAGAAAATCAATCCCATAAATATGTGTAAACCCCTTAGCCCATCAATCTTGTCTAATACATGTAAATTATACCATCTAGACGCCTATTTGTTTACAACAAGATACTAATCTGGTAACACATCCACTATATCCCAAGATTGAATGCACCTAGTTCATTCACTACTCTATTCCATTGAACATATTTCACTGCTTTATGAAAGGAATTAGGCTCAACATGAGATAAAACAATAAGAGCATAGATTTTGTCTGCTGCATTTAGATGATCAACATCTAGACTTATAGGGTACTTCTTGACAGCTGCACCAACGACACCAAACTGCAACTGTGGATCCATTTCACAGTCTTGGAGTATAGCTGGTAGTGTGAGATGCCTAATAGATCTTCTAGATGGTGGATCAAATTGAGCTTAGGGTTCCAACTCAAGGTCGAGCTCAACATGATCAACATGGTGAGGAGAAGAAGAATAAGTAGAAGGAGAAGAAACCACCATATCCCCCCCTCATATGTGGTCATATGAGGTGAATGATCATGACCAGATGATGATGAACGACATATACTGACATGTGGGGCTGAAGAAAAGATCGGGGGTGAAGGAATAGGGGTAAGAACTAAGTCCTGAGTCTCAACAGTATCCTTGAAAGGTAGGATATTTTCATTGAAACCTAATTGCCCTAACAACATTTAGAATGTGATGGTGTTTCTTTTCTACCCTTGCATTTGTTCAGGTGTCTCTGCTCATGATATTTGATGTTCAATGCCTTGTTCCAAGTAGTATTCATGCATGTGAAATTCCTGGCCCTGGCCACTTCGAACGTTAGCATTAAAATGAGTATTTACTTAGGAACATAATCTCTTAAGTAAATCCATTTTTATTTATTTATGCCTCACGAGAAAACCCAACCAACTCGTAAATCGTCATCCACAACCGTTACAAAATAGGTAAATCCATCATAAGAGTGAACAACTACCCCAAATATCAACATGGAGCAATTCAATAAGACATTGTGCAACACTGGTACTGATATGATAGTCTTTTGTGTTTGGAGAATTAACAAACATCACCTCTTCCTCATCAACATTATGTGAGAACATGTTAGCTTCTTTGCCACCCCAAACTTCCTTCAATGCCTTCCATGTGGGAAAATCCATGAGACAAGAGCAAATGGCTAGACTACTAGAAGTGTCATGTTCATCGAGATTCCACCTCGTACACATTCTATATATCATGCAACCATCCGTACAGATAAGAAACGACCTCTCCAAGTTTATTGAACTAGAATATTTGGCAACATGGTTGCTAAAGTACTAGTGGGTCTTGTTTGCAACTTATGGAAGGAAGAAGGTGTCCACGATGTTCAAGACATAGACATAGAGAATTGGGAATCCGTCACTCGCGACCCGGACAAATTTTTTACTTAACAAAAAATTAGGTTTACCATCAACTAATCTTCTTATAACAAAAATCATAATCAAGACTAAATTATTCTAGAGCATTATTAATGAAATAAAAAACCGTCAATAATAAAAGTTGGAAATCATTAATAACCACAATTAATATATTTGGTTTAGATTCCTCGTGCTGGATCTTTAGCATGCTAACAAGGATGACGATAACCTATCGTCGAGACTTCACATCTTATGTCTCACCGATATTTAAGAGGAAGAGAAAGTGTCTAGAGTTTTTAATTGCGGGTTTTGATGGAAAAACTCCATCTATTATAGATACTTAAATCGAGTTTTTTTTTTCCTTTCTAATTGAGATGAATTTAAATTTTTTTTTTGGAAATCATATAATTAAATTAAATTAGTAAGCTTATTTAGATTTGCAATGACCTAATCATGAGCACAAAATCAAATTTGATTAGATTATGTGAATGCTTATAGTTTTTTAGATTTTAGTCGAACCCAAAACAGATCATTTAGGAAACACGAAAGGAAAAGGTATAATGGTGTGCCATAAATGGGGATATTTATATCTTGACAGCAACACAGCAGAGCGGGTCCGAGGAGGATGAAAATCCCGTGGAAAGGCAGTCCTTCCTTCGTCCTTTATATATTGCTTCTCCTCAACAGGAGGCAAACTGGCTCCTAAAACTCTTAAACAATTGCTTTTGGAGGAGCCATAGCCAAGCTGAACGCAAGAATCTTTAGGAAAGGGAGACCAAAACATAGAGAAGAGGAAGGGAGTTTTGATCAAAGTGTGGGAAGCAGAGGGTTCTTCGTCCCCATTGCGTGTGGTGTGCTTCCTGAGGGCGGGGAAAGGGAGAGTCAGTCACCAATGTCTCTGGGTTACGCTGAGAAGCTCTCCTACATTGAAGATGTGGGTAGTGTTGGAATGGCAGAATTTTTCGACCCGTCAAGTGTTCTGCAAGAGAAGGTACGGTTTTGTTCCTCCCCATCTCTTCTATTCCTCGCTTCTTCGTTTTCCGATCACCCGGTTCCCCATTTCATATTACTGAGAACTCGTTTGCTTGTACTTGATTGCTTCTTCTAATGGTCAGCTGCCGGAGTGGGCACGGTATTGACTATGGTGGGTTGGTCTGCGTATCATTTTGGGTTTGTGCGTGTAGTTTGGCTTTTCTGCTTCTGCTGAGAAGATCTGACATTTGGCGGACTTGGCATTTGTTGTTTTAAAATTGGGGTTTGCTTGAATGTCTTCTGCTTGAATCATTCTGACTGCCGGCCTGCGCTTCACCCTGTGGGGCTTTAATGTTTTAGGTCGAAATTCCTTCTATGCATTGAATGTGGGAAAGATTGAATTGGAATGTGAATCATGCTAATCTTGTTTTTCGAAAGGAAGATGTTCGAATGTGTAGCATGCAATTTACGGTTGTTCATCGTCTTGCCTTTTGATAATGCTACAGAGATGCCCCTATTTGTTTGATGGGTTTAAACTTGTGCCTCAGCAATCACATTGCTAGAATGGATAGGACACTCAAACCCTAAAATTAAATCTTTTGAACTGGGTTTCTGACATTTGAGTTTACTCCATCCATGTTAAAATTAGTCTCCTAGTGTAGCTTTTGTTTTATGGGTTTCTTTTTCTTTCACAATTATGTCTATCGTGTAGTTAAACAATGAATTCTGCATGCAGCGTTTCAAATTTTCTTTTTTTCACTGCTATATCTTTTCGTTGGTCATATTGCTAATTTGAATATGGCTTCATTTGAATTGGCAGATTGAACAACTGGCCAAGATGATACAAGAGGTAACCTGTAAATTGCTTACTGTAGATGTTATTGCCTGTTCCTTTTTGATGAATGCATATCGATGTTATCGTTACTCAAAACGTCACGTGACTTCACCCCAAGCAGCCATTTAAGCATTTTGGCATATACTTGCAGAGTAAGCATCTGGTGGTATTCACAGGAGCAGGAATTTCAACTTCTTGCGGGATACCAGATTTTCGAGGGCCAAAGGGAATTTGGACATTGCAGGTATCACATCTTCTACATACTGCCTCAGAAGTTGTAATTTGACAAACGTACTGGAACATGCTTGGTAATGGATGTATTTTAGACTAGTTTCCTGTTCTAAAAAAAAAGGTGCTGTCTTTTGTCAGGAATCTCTTCTTTTAAGGTATGGTCATAACATTTCCTGTAAACTTCTAAATTTGTTTGTTACAAATCAATTAATGCAGCGGGAAGGAAAAGCTCTTCCTGAAGCATCACTACCGTTTCATAGAGCAATGCCCAGCATTACACATATGGCATTGGTTGAACTTGAGAAAGCTGGCATTTTAAAGTTTGTTATTAGTCAGGTACGGGGTATGGATTAGGCAACTCTATCCTTGCTGAAACTTCTCTTGGAAGTCTCAGATGTCTTTTCATTTCATTAAGGGTGCTAAGTGGCATACTTAATTAGTTTTCTTACATGCAAGATACGTGTTCTGTACTTTCATTCAGAATGTTGATGGCCTTCATCTGCGGTCGGGAATACCAAGAGAAAAACTCTCTGAGCTGCATGGTGACTCTTTCATGGAATCTTGCCCTTCATGTGGAATTGAGTAAGATGTGCTCCCTGGTGAAGTGTCTATCACATTCTCCTTACATTTCTCACGTTATTTTCTTCCCTTGTTATTATTCTTGCATGTGAAACATATAATATAAGACATTTATTCTGGACTGATAAGGTACCTGCGAGACTTTGAAGTGGAAACTATAGGACTGAAGGAGACATCACGGCGTTGCTCTGATCTGAAATGCGGAGCGAAACTTAAGGATACCGTGCTTGATTGGGAGGTATCTCTTCTTTACACGCTATCCTGCATTTCTCTAGATGCTCAAGTTTGTACATGCATGATGTTGTCAGCATTTCAAACTGGGTCGCTGTGTACACGACTCTTCAAATTTTCATTGAGCAATGATTGAGGGTACTTCAAAGAGTTTGTAGTTATTAAATGATTCGGAAATGGGAAATTATCATCCTTAATCCATAAAGTTTAGCTTAATTTCCTACTACCAGATGATGTATCTTCGTAACTGTAGAAAATAACGTATCTCTCCATCCATATTTTCAGGATGCATTGCCTGACAAAGAGATGCTTCCTGCTGAGAAGCATTGTAGGATGGCTGACGTTGTGTTATGTTTGGGAACGAGGTAAAACATCGCTTTCTTTCTAAAGAAATCCTATTATGTGGTTATTTGAATAGTAGTTTCCTTTTAAGGATTCCTGTTTAATTGATCGATCTTGTCAATTAAGTTGTAGTTCTTGCCTTACTTTGCAAATTGCAATCATGCTCCTTCTGCAACCTATTTGTGCTGGTTAACGAGAGGTGTTAGGATAATTTCTGCTTATATGATACTCAGTACTCATCAATGTGGTTGTCCATTCTTGCATATAACTGCACCTGAGGGACCAAGTCACTCTTCGTTGGACATCCTTGGTTGAGACAGTTTACAACTTTACATCCTTACACATGAAACTTTAACAAACAAACTCTCGAGGATGTGTTATGTGCAGTTCTCAATCTAATTATGAGTAAATATATGGGATCATTGTCCTTTGTGTCCTTATGTTTGCTTTCATGAAAATTTCATACACAATGGCCTTCAAAGCCACCTCCAACTGAAAGGACCAGGAGGCTAAATAAGTAAATATAATAAGGAAAATAATAAATAAGGTACTTTCTTGGGTGAAAATATTACCGAGGACAAACAGATCCCCGACAATAAAAATATATTGCCCAGTTAAGCTACCATAATTTTGGAGGAATCCCCTGAACGACTTATTTGTCTGTCATATCGAATTTTTTTCAGAACTCAATCTTGGAAGCCTAAGGTTCTCAATTTCGTGCAACTCGTGTTCTCTTGCTTCATGATGTCGAATATGGTTTAGTTTTCTGCTCTGTGCAGTCTGCAGATCACCCCAGCATGCAACCTGCCTCTGAAATGTCTCCGTGGTGGTGGGAAAATTGTAATAGTGAATCTTCAGGTGCTTGTCTTCTGTTTGTGAATATGCACTTGCTTGCTTGTAGGATTACATCTAATTTGCAGTGAATATGAATTTCTGATTTGCATCTATATAAGAACTAGCAAATCGGAAAAGGTTCTTGGTTGGTTTTTCCTAGTAATCAGTGACATTGGACAGAAACTTCTCTACTCGTACCTGTGGAGAATTGGACACCATGACATTTTGGCCTTGGTCATATACATGGGGGGGGGGGGGGGGGGGGGGGCCTTCATGCCACTTCTACTTTTCATTTTTGTGGGCTCTGGTGCTGGTATGGGATCCGGGAAGTGTGATGCTCTTAAGTCCCATTCTGAAGGATCTGGGATTCTGAAAATTATTAGTCCTACTTTTTTTGGAGTACTTAAGAATTTTCTCAAAACTTTGAAATAAGTCGTGGAATCTGAATTAAAACATTTCCATTCAAACATCGTAGTTACAGTCATGTTTTCCCCCCCGAAACACAAATCTTACTGATGCTGCATTGTGTGATATGCTTTTCTGCTATGTTCGATGTAGGAGCCCCTATCGCTCCCTTTTCTAGGGTAATTTCTTATTTGTGTTCAGGAAATGTTTAAATTGATCTATGAAAGCACATTGGTGTGTCAGGATTGGTTAACTCTATTGAGCTTTGTTACTGACAATAAGTGGTTGATTGGACCAATTACAGAAAACTCCGAAGGACAAGAAGGCATGTTTGGTGATCCATGGATTAGTGGATAAGGTACTTGTTTATCTTTGGTTCATGGCTGTAGTGCTGTTAGTCTGCCCTCTCCTGTTCTTAATCTGTGTCCTCAGTGATTGGTGACACTTTAACATTTTGTTTGGCAATCGAAGGGTAATTATTTTACGGGTGAATATTTGAACAGAGTACGATTGAAGAAGTGAATATGTTGTTTGGGAAGAAACAAAAGACTAAAGTAGCGTGTAGGTTAATTTGATTTGACTTTTTGAATTTGCTGAACAATTTAAAAAATTAATTCATCTCTTTCAAAGCAAGAAAATGTCAAGAAAAAGTAATGCAGCCCACATAGCACTTCCTCTCATGTTTACAAAGCATAGAGAACAGGAAAGTTTCTCCTAGGGCTAGGATGCTCCCCCTTGATCCTGTTATTGGTAGACAAAAACACAATAAAGAGTTGAGTTGGGAGCTGAATTTCCAAGCCTGCTTTAAGTGCACTTCCAATGAAGGTTAAAGTTATCATTTAGGCCAAAAGACTTGTCCCATGGTCCTGGTAGCCTTCTACCCATGTTCTGACAACTCCTTCACTGGAGATACTAACTACTGAAATCTCATTTTAATTTAAGAAGCAAAGACTGACATGACTTTTCTGTTTTTATGCATAATCTGTGATTTTCAACAAGAACAGGTTATCACAGGAGTTGTGGAATCCCTGCGAATGCGAATTCCTCCATTTGTTAGGATGGACGAGTTCCAGATCATCATGACTCAGTCCTCGAGTGCAGGTACCCTAGCTTCCTCTCAATTTGTGTGTTTAGTCTTGGAGATGCATGTGCATGCAACCTTGTCCTGTTCCACTAGTGGCAGTGATTTTGGTTTGTCATGAATGTAAACCATGGCCTGCAGTGTGACCCTAGACAAACATATATATTTATGGTTTATGACTGGTAATGGTGGATAAATTATAGATGAATTTGACTCATGACCAGGTGGACACTTCATTGTGGGAGGTTCCACACTGGTACCTTGCCTATATGGCTATTGCTCTCTTATGTTTCACCCACTTGTTGTCAGATAAGAAATTCGTTAACTGGACTATGCGGGTTGCAAGTGTACATGGAGTCAAAGCACAATTGCCATTCATCAAGTCCATCGAGGTGAGATCACTGATATCTGTCTACGGCGACTGATTCCTCAGCAAAAGAACCTCAATTTGCCTCTTCATTCGATCAGATGATAGCCATGTCCAGTCGAGACAGATGGAGATGATTAAGTTCTGCCTTATCCTTGTCCCTCTATCTCCAGGTTTCATTCTCAGATTCCCAGAAATACAAAGCAGCTTTGCTAGATCAACAGCCATTTAACCTGAAAAGGTTTGTCTGATCCCATAATTTTTCTGTTTGAGAAGGGTTCTCATGTGTGCAGTATTAGATTTAAATCTTGAAAATATCTAGTCGTACACGTAAGAATATCCCAAGTATGGTTTAATCTTGATACCCAAGATTGAAATCTAAGAATGACCGACGTAAGCTAAAAATAAAATTAAGTTCAAGAAGGTTTGCGTTGTTTGCAGTACTAGGGGTAGATCTTGAATATCTTTAACCATTCGCCTAATAATCCATTAGCTACTGCTTGTTTGTCTGCAGTCTGTGAATTATGATGGCTTATTGCCTGGTTCTGATGAAGTGAAATTTGTGTTTAGCTTATGTTGGTCATTCTTATCAGTTTCTGTATTAAGCTACGACGATTATTAGTCTTCTTACTAATCCTTTAATTGAAACAATCCATCAGAAGGACTTTGACAGGAGAGTCATTCGAGATTCTGCTGAAAATCAACTTGAGCGATGGATGTGGCTGCCTGAGCACTGAAATCAATATCCCCTTTGGTCTCAATAAGGTTATAACAGATGGAATCTAATCATCAACCTTAAACTTGTTTCTTTAGCATTTTCTTTCCTCTTCTCTGATTTAGATCTCGAGTTGATGATGCCGTGTACAGGGCTCAACCGATTGCTTGGACCTCGAAAAGGATGCTATAATCCAGAGTATGAAGGAGAAGGCAATTCAAGATTCAAGCTGTGGGCAGACAGCAGTTGTCGAACGGAGGAGCATGTCAGAACCTACAGCTGAGGTTACAGTCTATGGCATTGTGACCAACATCAAGGCATTCAACTCTGAGTCGTTGAGCAATGGCGATGTTAAGACGGTAAGGGAATTTGCTACCAATGCTACCGGAGCAGTAACAAAGCCGCGATCTTCGAACAGTCGGAAGAGGAAGTCGAGGGTTCAATGAGGAATGGTGAGGTGAAGTGGTGGGCTGGTTTTGTACATAAATGGAGGGGGGCAGTTCATGTGTTGATAGTAAGCAGCATTCTGATACAGATTTTAAGTACTATCAGTGTGCAGTATTAGTTGGTGTTAAATGGGGGGACTGAGTGAATTTTGTTAGTGGGTTACTACACTCAGGTCCATCCTCGGGTTATCATTATTCGTGAGAATTACAGAACTACCACCCATTATACTGAACGGACCAAGGGTGCGTTTGGATAGATATATTTTAAAGTAAGGTATTTGAAATATATGTATTTAAAATGCATAATTGAAATATTAACATTTGAAATACATGTAATTCAAATTCCTTGTTTGGATACTCCTTTGTGATTTGTTTGTATTTCAGAGTTTATGATTTTTTATTTTAATTTTGAATTTTCTGGCCACTTCCTATAAATTTAGGTAAATTACAGTTTGGTACCCAAATTTATTTTTCTTACAATTTAGTACCTAAACCTTTAGAATTTTACTAATAGGTCCAGAAAATATGGTGGCAAAATTACAATTTGGTACCTTCATATTTTTTGCCTCACACTATAGTACCTTAACTTTTAAACTTTTACAAATAGGTCCAATCTTTTGTTATGAGGAATTTCAAATCACTAGTTGTTGAAATGTATTTGAAGTGGACAAGTAATACACTTGAGATGGATTTGGAAATCACCTCATGAATTTGGCACAAATCCAAATACCAAATGTAATGGATATCCAAACAAATTATTTGACATTTTTAGAAATCCGAATCACAAATACCAAATCCAAATCCTTCTATCCAAACACACCCTAAAATCTTTTCATATACTCTTCCCTCCCTCGATGGTTGTCATGCTGATGGAATGTCGGCTGATTTAATCTGAATCGCTATTCGTCGTCCTAAAATTCAAATTTTATCGCCATAAAACACAACAAATTGACACATTTACCCTTCAGTTCAATTTCAATTCTAGCCTAACCAAACAACCCCTTCCTCACCGCCGACCAAACATCCGCCGCCCTCACCCAGAAAAAGAACTGTTGCCTCGTCACCTCCCCTCCCATGCTCCTGCCGCAACTGCTGCTACTCAAGCGCCGGAGGGAACGAGGAGGAAGAAGCAAGTTAACAAGGTGGGAGAAAAAATTTGCAGAAGTTTACGAGGAGCTCGATATTCCACTTTCGCTTTCTTGAATTCAACTATTGCCTGAAATAAAGTCCAGCACATAAAGTTCACTATGGGTTGGACGATGATTAGCAGATATCTAGGGTTTATCCAAAATTTCTTTTATATATACCTTTTGCACCAGTTAAGAGGAGAAAATCAGATGGGTTGGACAAAGTTCAGAAACGAAGGACAAACATGCTAAGAACAACAGTCTTCCTATTCTGGAAAAGTGGATCTCTAGTTTACCTAGGGTTTGGCGAGCCAACTACAATTTGTGAAAGACGAATAATTGAGCTAAGGGTATTAGAGTAAATGTAATTTAATTAGGGCGACGAATAAGGAATTTTTAGGGCGACGAATAGCAATGCTCGATTTAATCTAGTACAAATGGTGTCGGTCACGAAAATCAAGTTCAATTGTCCGACATTTCATCAGCTGGAATACTATCGGTATTACTGCGTTCTGAATAATCGATTTCCAATCTCTAGAGCAAATGATATTGTTTTGGTGAATTTATTTAAAAAATATGAATATGTATTTTATTTCATTAATTTAAAAATCAAATATTTGATGTTATTTGTAGAATTCAACCTGCCTCCCTTCGAAGATTGAACCCAAAAAAAGACCTAAAACCAAAACAGAACAAATCCTCCTTCCCCTGCCTCCCAGCGACCGTGCGACGTTCCCTCCCCGGCCACTGACGGCGAGTTTTCAGCGTAGAGAACAATCAGAAGGAGCCAAGATCTTCGCTAAATCCCAGCAATGGCAGACTCCATGGTTCAAGAAGTACATCTCATTCCACCATCACGCTTTCTTACGTCGACCTCTTCACATTTCTGATTTGCGTATATTTCGTTCTTGTCTTGCGGGTTCCAGATTTTGGAGAAGCAAGTGCTGTCGGTAGTCAAGGCGGTGGAGGACCAGCTCGACGATGAGATCGCGGCGCTCGACAAGCTTGACGAAGACGATCTGGAGGTGCTGAGAGAGAGGAGATTGCAGCAGATGAAGAAGATGGCCGAGAAGCGTAGGCGCTGGATCTCTCTTGGCCACGGCGAGTACACCGAGATCCACGCCGAGAAGGAGTTCTTCTCCGTCGTCAAAGCCAGCGACCGCGTCGTCTGCCATTTTTATCGCGAGAATTGGCCTTGCAAGGTAAAACACCCATCATCAGATTTCGACAGGCCTGAAAGGATTCTAGGTGTTTGAATTGAGTGGTTTTATCGCCTGCTTGAGATTTATAATAGAATTGAGTTAGCAGGCAAATGGGGATTGCAGATTCTCCAATTCCCTTCTTTTGGTGATGGAGATTTCATAGATATGGCCTATTAGAGCTCTGTTTTACTTTTGTTTCTAGCGAATCTCTTCTGGGATAAGTCTTTATCAGTTGAGTTCTCTGATGCACTCCATAGTGATAGTGGAAATGTCAAAGCGTGAAGCTTTCCATGGATTTGGAAAATGCACTGCTTCTGTGCTAGGCAGTAACGCACTTTGCTTGAACTTGTAAAAAAACGAACTTTGCTTGAAAATCTATTGTTTATCCGCTGATATGATTGATCGTTCACTTGCCTGTGTAAGTGTTGATTATTGGATCAAAGTTCTTAAAGGACTGTATATGGAGCTTTGTGTGGGTTTCATTCATTGCCCTTCACCTATCAGTTGAATTAGTGGGTTATTCAATTGCGTTGCCTTGAAGACAGAAGCTATTCTGAAATTTGGTAGATTAAGTAATCCATCAATCCATTTTTCATATTTGTGTTTCGTTTCATTTGCAGGTGATGGACAAGCATTTAGCTGAACTCGCGAAGCAGCACATAGAGACGCGATTTGTGAAGATTCAAGCAGAGAAAAGCCCCTTCTTGGCTGATAAACTCAAGATTGTGGTTCTTCCTACTCTTGCCCTCATAAAGAAAGCCAAAGTTGACGATTACGTGGTGCGTTCGTTGCTGCATGATAGTTCATTCATGTAGATGGTGGAGTGGGGCTAACGAAACCATCCCCTCCCTTCTACTTTCACTGTCCCTAAATTTGTTTTGTGCAAAATCCTGGCAGGTTGGATTCGATCAGCTCGGTGGGACTGATGATTTCAGCACGGATGTTTTGGAGGAGAGGCTGGCTAAAGCTCAAGTCATCTTTTACGAGGGTGAATCTTCTCTGCCAAAGTCTACAAACCAAACAAAGAGGAGCGTTAGACAGAGTGAAGCTAATGACTCATCAGACTCGGAATGAGACCAAAAAAGCCCCCTCACTTTTTGGTTCCCATCTGATATTTCAATTGCTGCTCTGCTACTTAGTTATATGCAAATGATGGTTTTATCGACTTCAACTTGTAGGAGAGTTGAGGGTTGTGTTGTTATGTGTTCTTACTCCATCTTTTGTATGTTTTCATGGTGATGTCAACTTTCAAGGACGTACTAATGGTGTCGTGACTGAGTTTGTAAAGCGGGTTTATAATCTATGGTGTTTCTTATGTTATGCGTTATTATGGATCTACGTCCTTTTTTTTGTTACCATTGCAAGAGAAAGCAAAGAAAATACGTCAACCTTGTAGTCCACTTCCTTTGTAAACTGGACAGGTGGTCTGCCATGCGGCACAAGAGCCGAACCGTAGGAGGGATTCTCCAAGAAGATGGTTCAAAGCTTCTACTACCACTATCTGGAAACTGAGGTACTTTACTTTCTTCATCACTTTCTCCTTTTTGTGTCAGCTACTCCACATTCCCCTGCACAGAACCCACCAACCAATTTCTGCAACACCTCTCCCTTTCCATGAAGTTGGGGCAACAACTGAACAAAGTAACATGGCGGTGGGACGTAAATCCCATGGCCTACTTGTTGCCATCTTGGTACTGCTAGTCTTTAACCAGAAATGTCTAGCCAGCAGGAAAGCCAACTGGGATGTGGTACCTCCAGGCTGCATGAACTGCACAATCTGCCCTTATGCCTGCCACCCTCTCAACCCGCCACCGCCTCCTCCATCACTTCCAGACAACCCAATCGGCGGCGTTACGCCGCCGCCATCAGTGCTGCCTTATCCTTCAGATGTTGGTCCACCACCACCACCATTGAATTGCACGACGGTACCTGTCCAGTGCTGTCAGTATCCAACTAGTACTACTACTATCACCCCTCCTGTTGGGTACGGATACCAGCCTGTGGATAATTACTCTGCTCCTCCAGCGTCACCTGTCCGCTTCATTTCGGTTATGGTATCGTTGCTCTCCATTGTTGCTCTGCTCTAGCTTCTCAAAGCTGCTATGTATTCTCTAGGGGTTTTCCGTTTGTGGTGATATTGTAGTAGCAATAAAGGCGTCCATTTCAGTGGCTGGATTCTGTAACAGGGTACCATCCTTTTTTTGTGAAATTCTTGTGTGTGTGTTGCATAGTTGGGTCGGTGCGATATAAGAATTGTCCATGATTGTATTGTCTTTTCTTATCCTTGGCCATATCGCTCGAACGTTGCAGTTTTTCCATATCTAGCGCAAATTTTTAAAACCTGATCCAGTATTGGAGAGAGTAGCTAATTCGAGCTTGTAACCCTACAGATAGCCACCATTTTTATTCTTCTTAGAATGGTAGAGCAAACGGTGAGTATTTTGCTGGACTATCAACAAACAAATCGATGCTTAGAGTCGCTCCTATCCAAGGTTGTCGAATCAAATGACAAATCAATTTAAATGCAATATTTAAAATCAAATGACAAATCAATTTAAATATATTTAAATGCAATATTTAAAGTTAACTCCCTAACGTTTATACTTGAATTCAATAGATTATTAGGGTAAATACAATGTAACAGCCAAACCTTTCATTTTAAACAAAATAATAATCAAACCTTTTCGCATAGGTAAACTTATAAATGTACAAGAGCTCTGGTAAGGCTCGGCCTAGGCTAACGCTCTGAGCGCATCTGGCTATTACATAGCCAAACGTTAACTTTTCATCCGTTTGACCGTCAGTTGACTCTAAGGACGAAAATGGTTAACCTTTCAAATAATCGATGTATTATTTGTAAGGTATTTATTGGCATATTCAATGTTTTTAAAATGAGCTATGTACAAATGATAATGGTGTATATGATCCGCCCAGAATTAAAGATGTATTTAATATATATCTACAACAAATTTCCACCAAATCATAGCTACTTTGTAAAAATAGTTTTATTTCAATCAATGATAGGGAGAGTGTAGCAGGGGGCTTCTAAGGACGAAAATGAGTAAATAAGTATAATAGTTGATTGATAATGAAATTTAGGGCTCTTCTAATTGAGAATGGTTGACCGAGATATCATTTGTTCGAATCTTGGCGACCTCATTTGTTAAGCACATGATATTCGGATTTATGAAAACTTTAAGCACGTATAACTTGATTTCCGTTAGCGGGGAAGTGTTAGTAAAAAGTTAATATAATTATTTTATAGTGCGTATTTTTTTTATAAATGAACTCACTCTCGACAAAATCCTAACTAACTGGCTAGCATACTAGTTGTTTGATTAGTCTCTCTAAGTGGAAATTTTGTGGCTAATTGATGGGTAATGGAGGGGAACAATTATGCAAGCTAGAGGTGGTAGTTGTGGAGTTGGTCCTTTGTTGGGAAATGAATGGCGGTGTTGCTGAATTAGCAACATCATAAAAACACAATTGATGGAGATCGATCAATGGGGAAGGGCCCCCGGCTTTTGTCTCGGCCATTATTATGTTAACCTTTTTCCAGCAGTTGGAAGCATGATCGATTTTGCCGTGCATGTCATGATCATGTTGTCCAATCTTAGTTGAAATCCAAAGAACTTCACTACCATTGCCATCTGCTACTCAGAAAGGCAAGAAAGAAAGCAAAACACACAAAGCTACAACAAGAATACAAGATCCTCTCCATTACCAAGCAGACTCTCCCTCACAAACCCTAACACAAAACCAGAACAAAATGGCACATAAATACCCCCTCCCTCCTCCAAATGAGCAGCAACAAAATAGGCTCCATTGCAGTTCTACCTTCACTTATTCCCCTGCCCTCAACAAATAACCCAAAAAATTCAATTCCTTTCCATGAGTACACCAACAGATAGTACATTGCGATCGGTTGCAGCTACAGCAACACCATCACCAGCCCTAGACACAAGCTCAGCACCACCTGCTTACCACCTGCAAGCCTGCTGAGAGCAGCATTGTCATCTGCAGCCTCCTGATCCTCCGAATCAGCCTCCGGCCCATCAGCCGGCGATGGGGAGTCAGCATCGACATCCGACGAAGGCGGCGACTTGCTCTTCTTCTTCTTCTTGCTCGACTTGGGCGCATCAGCAGCCGGGGCAGGCGCTGGTGCCGGGGTCGGGGAAGGAGCGTCCTTGAACAGCTCGTTCGGCAGCAGGACCTTGTCGATCGTGTACACCGCGAGTGGCTGCTCGTCGAAGATCGACCCCGTGACCTTGGCGGTGGTGCTCTTCGTCTTCAGGGTGAGCTGCTCGCCGTCGTTCTGCACCGTGAAGTCGAACTTGCTGGCCCCGTCGGTGGCCAGGGTGTTCATCACGCCGTTGTTGGATTTCAGCATCGGCATCGACATGTACACCGGGACCCCGAAGAATTCGAGCAGCGAGACCTTCCCCGCCGCGGTCAGGTTCTTGAATCTGGGCAGGAAGGCCTTGAATGGGTCGTCCATGGGGCAGAACACTGTCAATCCTCCATCGATGCTTTCCTGCAAAAAACAGGGGAATCCGCCATTTTTAACCGCGAGTCACAAAAACAAATCTTTCCTAGATCCCAGCTGAGAAACAAACGGCAACAATTCGGGGAAACAAAAGTCAACCGGGTCACATGATCCGAAATGTGGCAGTAATCAGTATAGTATAGTCAACTAACGCCATGGCCACTCCACTGAGCTTTTGCAGGTAACACGGCGTAATTTATGCCTTACAAGGCTATAACAGTACAACTACCAAGAAAGAGACGGTAAATAACAATTACCAGCGAAAGTCAATCAATTAAACAGAGAATCAGTAAAAAAATCGGGGGAAATTGAACTGAATCGACTGGGTAAAAAATTGGGGGGAAGAAAAGGAAATGTGTATATACCTGGAAGGTTTTGGAAGCATCAGGATAGGCAAGGAGAGTGTCGGCGAAGACCTTACATCCGCTCGCCGACATAATGCCGGTCAAATTCATGGCGGCGGGGGAAGGAGTGGGCGCGGCGGCGACGGCGGAGGGGAGGATCTTGCTGATCTGGATGACGGAGATGTTGTAGGGCAGCTCCTCGACCCCCTTGACGAAGAAGGCGTCGAGGGAGCCGCCGTTGTCCTCGGGTCCGAGGGCGACCTTGCCGCCGCGGATGTCGGTGATGTTGACGAATCCGGAGGAGCCGGGGGCGGATCCGGTGGCCTGGAAGAGGGTGGCGGCGAGGGCGGTGCCGTTGGAGATCTGGTGGAGCTTCTTGGGGCCGAAGTAGTCGAGGAGGACGTGGAGGGAGAGGATGTTCTTGACGGTGGAGATGGAGGGGCGGGAGGCGAGGAGGGAGTCCATGGCGGCGTTGTCGACGGCGCAGACGGTGATGGTGATGCGGCGGTTGATCTCGTCGGCGAGCTGGGTGAGGGTGAGGTAGTGGTTGAAGGTGGAGAACTCCGGGTGGCTGGCGAGGAGCTTGGTGATGTTGTGGGCGGTGGCGGTGGAGGGGAAGAGGAGGAGGAGCGGAGCTAGGAGGAGGAGGGACGCCGCCGACGGCCGCATTGTGGCGGAGGAAGAGGAGAGAGAGAGTGAAGAGAGTAGCAGTGGTGGTGATGGTAATGAAGAGAGGAAAGAGACAAGTGCTGTATAGGCGAATTTTATATTTTGGGGCAGCCGGGCAGGGGTGTTTCGGGTAATTCGCAAGACGCGCTAAAACAAACCAATAATACATAGTACACTTTGTAATTTTCTTTATTTCAAATTTTCTGTTACGAGAGTGAAAATAGGAATGATATTTTTGTCTTTACAATTAATTATTTATCTCACATTAAAAATATTAACATTAGAGTTTGAACTCGGGTCTCTTCAAACAAAGACAATAATCAGAACCATTTACACTGAACAAATTTGTTGTGTCATTTTGAATACAAAATATACACGAAGTTCAACTCTCTGAAAATCGCAGGACTTTCCATCATGATTAGCAAGCCCACTAAGTATACCGTATGTATTCTTATGGTGTTTGATACTTCAATTTTCATAGTAGAGTTTCATGTAATTTTCTCAATTTTAAAATTCTTTCTCTCTCCTTAATTTTTGCTAAAAGTAAATTGGTAATTGGCTAACATGGAAAAAACTAATTTTACGTGTTGTGTCTTTGCATTTTTCAATTTAAATTTTGTGGTTTTTATCTTTGTTTTTATCTCTTTCTAACTTCCTCGAAAATTTCCTCCATCGTACAATAGTTTGCGCCCCTTTCACTTCCCAGTACAAGGCCGCCTTTGAAAATCGATCATCCAGTATCTCTTGGCACGCGGTTTTATTGTTGGGGATTTAAGTTGGGCAAGTAAAAGAGTTTAATCAATAATGAAGTTGCAGAAGGAGTATTCGAAATTGAATTTTTGGTTGAAACATATGTCTCTTGAGATGAAAATTTGGTTGTACAACGAAGAGTGGTGGCTATTGGATCTTTATGTTTATGATTTTTACATCTATCACAACCTATTTCTATCTTAAAACGAGGAATCATTGATTGATTTATTGAAGTAGGTCGATTCTTTATTCAACCTACTGGAACTGATAGACAAGGAGTGTGTAATTTTGTGCATTATTACTTTGATTAAGTCTATTAGTATGTTGGAGATAACCCTAATTTTGTCGTTTGCTCTCAAGTTTTGATGGTCCCCTCCCCTCTTAGCTGAGTTGTTAGTATATAGTTGACTTGAATCAACAACTCCCCATTTTTTTTTATTAGTGGCATATTGTTCATTAATGGAGCGCATTAAACCCTTATGTAGGATTGTGAGGTGATTTAGTTTCAAACTATCTAATGGTCATGTGGAATTTCACTGAGCTTTTATACCCTCTTTCTTGACAATCAACTAACCAATAGTATTTTAACGATGGCTTAATTATCATTATGAAAATGGAATTAATGATACATTTTATATTTTATATTCTTAAATGATTATGGTATTTCTCCGAATGTTAGACTTACATATTCTTTTTTATGTATCATTTCGATCGAAGGATTGTCAATAAAATTAAACCGGTTAATTGGTTTAAACATAACATAAAAATATAAATAATCAAATAAAAACATTCCGATCAATTGGCCGGGTTATAAGCTAGTTTATATGAATGTTGGACAATTTTTTTCAGGAAGATTTGTCCCTGCCCTAATTTCCATGGGATTGGGAAATACAAATGGCACCTAAGGAGTTGTTTGGCAACTGCATGGTTTAGTTAAATTTATACGCAAAAAGTTTAGGGGATTAAATGAATTGTATAAAATATAAAATCATAAAATGCCCATACACGTTGGAATAACTATTTTATATAATCTTTAAAAACAAAAATTATTTTATATAATACATGCATTCATTGAAATATAGAATTCAGTATCGTAATTACCAAATCACTCTCGTTGTCGGGGTAGTTTCGTTAGAAGATTAGTGAAGGGAAATGACTTTTTTGTGCAATATTTTATTGGTGTGAAATGTGATCGAAATTCAAAAGAGACACATAAAGTAAGAAGACAAAGACAAATTGCATATCTTTAAAAATCCCCTGCTCCAATTTCACTATCTAAATGGGTAATCTTTTTAAAAATGAAAATAAGTGTGAAGTAGGGAAGTATGCATTGTTAAAACGCCTTCAATCAATCCTTGAATAATTTAAACAAAAACACTATCCTTTGATATTTCGCATACTATGATGTAAAACTTGATTTTGATAGTCATTTAAATTATAATGAGATAAAATATTTAGGATAAAGAACGGCAAAAATAAGTATAAAGGCATTGAATTTCATGATAAATTATACACGATCATAAAGGTTATTAATGAAAGATTATAAGATCTGATTTGAACTTATTACAAATAGTTTAAATTATTGGGATGGATCAATTCTTATCTAATATAATAAATTCCTTAATATAGAGATTCTACATACATTCCAATTTCTCTATGAAAAATAGAATCTCTTATCTCTACGAGAAACTGAAAGCCCTAACGGAAAATAAAAGTTAGATAAAATCATGACATAATCATATAGTCAATGTTGGCTGTCAAACCAGGGTGCTCAATTAGTACGATATTGTCCACTTTGGGCCCAACCCACACGGTTTTACTCTTGGGTGTCCTCCCCAAAAGGCCTTGTACTAATTGGGCTAGGTGGACTCTTATATACAAGGGTTTCATCCCTTGTATTTCCGATGTGGTACTTGAATTGTCACATAACAATCCTCTCCTCGAGCCAAGGACCACGAACATCGTGTCCTCACCTCAGCGATTATCTTGATCCGCCAGACACCTTGTATAGATGAGCTTCTCGTTACAAGGATTTTCCTCATACGTGAAACTCTCTTTGATCCGCCAAACATATGTGGATCTCTCCACAGACAAACGCGGACCTCCCTCGATCCGCCAAACCAGAAGTAGCCCAGATGTGGATCTCGAGTGGATCCACCAAACGAGATGCAGATCTCAAATCCCAAGGTCGCCAAAAGAGGGTCCCACCAAACTTGTTGTCCACCGCCCCAGATCCGCCGAACCAGGCTCTGATACCACTTGTGATAACCGGGCTGCTCAATTAGTACGATATTGTCCGCTTTGGGCCAAGCCCGCACAGATTTGTTCTTGGGTATCCTCCCCAAAAGGCCTCGTACTAATGAACTTGGTAGACACTTATATACAAGGGTTCCATCCCTTGTATATCCGATGTGGTACTTGGATTGTCTCATATAACAATCCTCCCATCAATCCAAGGACCACGAACACCGTGTACTAACCTCAGCTATTATCTTGATCCGCCAAACACCTTGTATCGATGGGCTTCTCGTTACAATGATTTTTCCAGACGCGAAACTCTCTTTGATCCGCCAAACAAACGTGCATCTCTCCACCAGACAAACGCGGACCTCCCTCGATCCGCCAAACAAACGTGCATCTCTCCACCAGACAAACGCGGACCTCCCTCGATTAGTACGATATTGTCTGGTGGAGAGATGCAGATCTCTAGTGGATCCACCAAACGAGATGCAGATCTCAAATCCCAAGGTCACCGAAAGAGGGTCCCACCAAACTTGTTGTCCACCGCCCCGGATTCGCCGAACCATGTTCTGATGCCACTTGTCAAACTGGGCCGCTCAATTAGTACGATATTGTCTGGTGGAGAGATGCAGATCTCTAGTGGATCCACCAAACGAGATGCAGATCTCAAATCCCAAGGTCACCGAAAGAGGGTCCCACCAAACTTGTTGTCCACCGCCCCGGATTCGCCGAACCATGTTCTGATGCCACTTGTCAAACTGGGCCGCTCAATTAGTACGATATTGTCTGGTGGAGAGATGCAGATCTCTAGTGGATCCACCAAACGAGATGCAGATCTCAAATCCCAAGGTCACCGAAAGAGGGTCCCACCAAACTTGTTGTCCACCGCCCCGGATTCGCCGAACCATGTTCTGATGCCACTTGTCAAACTGGGCCGCTCAATTAGTACGATATTGTCTGGTGGAGAGATGCAGATCTCAAATCCCAAGGTCACCGAAAGAGGGTCCCACCAAACTTGTTGTCCACCGCCCTGGATTCGCCGAACCATGCTCTGATACCACTTGTCAAACTGGGCCGCTCAATTAGTACGATATTGTCTGGTGGAGAGATGCAGATCTCAAATCCCAAGGTCACCGAAAGAGGGTCCCACCAAACTTGTTGTCCACCGCCCTGGATTCGCCGAACCATGCTCTGATACCACTTGTCAAACTGGGCCGCTCAATTAGTACGATATTGTCCGCTTTGGGCCAAGCCTGCACGGCTTTGGGCCACCGCCCCGGATTCGCCGAACCATGTTCTGATGCCACTTGTCAAACTGGGCCGCTCAATTAGTACGATATTGTCTGGTGGAGAGATGCAGATCTCTAGTGGATCCACCAAACGAGATGCAGATCTCAAATCCCAAGGTCACCGAAAGAGGGTCCCACCAAACTTGTTGTCCACCGCCCCGGATTCGCCGAACCATGTTCTGATGCCACTTGTCAAACTGGGCCGCTCAATTAGTACGATATTGTCTGGTGGAGAGATGCAGATCTCTAGTGGATCCACCAAACGAGATGCAGATCTCAAATCCCAAGGTCACCGAAAGAGGGTCCCACCAAACTTGTTGTCCACCGCCCCGGATTCGCCGAACCATGTTCTGATGCCACTTGTCAAACTGGGCCGCTCAATTAGTACGATATTGTATGGTGGAGAGATGCAGATCTCAAATCCCAAGGTCACCGAAAGAGGGTCCCACCAAACTTGTTGTCCACCGCCCTGGATTCGCCGAACCATGCTCTGATACCACTTGTCAAACTGGGCCGCTCAATTAGTACGATATTGTCCGCTTTGGGCCCAGCCTGCACGGTTTTACTCTTGGGTTCATTCCCAAAAGGCCTCCTACTAATGAACTTGGTGGACACTTATATACAAGGGTTCTTTTCCTTGTATTTCCGATGTGGTACTTGGATTGTCCTATAACACTGGCTTTAGGAAATAAAGAAACAAATCAAATTCTTTTTGGTGGAATTAGGGAACCAATCATTGATTACGCTGAAAGGAACTTTTTAAAAATAATGATTGATCGATGAATAATCAAGAGTAGAATTAATTAATAAAACTCCATGTTTGTTTCCTCAAGAAGCTCCGTCGTTGTGGTTGTGTTCACGTTGGGAAAATTCTTTGAGGTAGGGATTGTTGTCTTTGGCGGTGGCATTTTGCATCCCATAAGAGGTATTGACCGTTTCATGTACTGGTTTCTTAGGTTGGCAGAAGTTGACCTATATCATTGCTAATCATCCACCAATTCTGGAAGAAGTAAAAAATCAAATGATTTTCAATTCATAGTTTTGGGTGAATGTCGGTTCTAGGCTGAAGCGAATTTAGATCTGGGTTTTTCTGTTTTTCATTGCCAACCATTACGTTAACTTTTTCTTCTTGTTATATAGCTGCTTTAGCAAGAACAGCCTACTGAGCAATGAGCATCCACGTGGCAGTATGGCAGTGGTCATTACAAAACTAATCAACTGTTTAATAACGGCTAACTAAACACGACTTAAACAGAACAGTGCCGTCGTTCTTATCACTAACAAGCAAGCTAAAGAAACGTTTCACGTTTCTCCCTCCACTTCTTCTCTTCTCTGCTGGAATTCCGGTCTTCGCCCCGAGGAACAACTCCACCATGAACTCCTCGTCCGACAGTACAGACCCGATCACGTTCTGGGCCTGGGCCGGGAACAGCCCAAAACTCGACATCTTCCGCACGCAGTTCACGACAACGTCGCTGTACGAGTATATTATCCCGGCCTGCAGGCCCGTGAAGCCCATGTCCTTGGAAAGGCTATGCACTATGTGGATCAGGTCCAAGTTCAGACTGTTGCTGCCGCCGCTCTTCCGGTCCTCGTCGACGATCTCGGCGATGCTGACGTAGTCCGGCTTGCCGGCGGAGTAGACGTCGTCGCAGATAAGGTGAATGTTGTTCTCGTTGGTGAAGGCGGCGATGCTCCTCAAGGTGTCTCCGTCGAGAATCGTTCCCGATGGGTTGGACGGGTTGGTCAACAACAACCCTTTGACCTGAATGTTGTTCTGCTTCGCCATTTCGTAGGCAGCTTCCAAGTCCTCCATCCTCAACTTGAAGTTGTTGGCACTGTCGCATTCGATCGGCACCAGCTTGACTCCTACCCTCCGGCTCAAATAGTGATAGTATCTGTCGAGAAAAAACGCGACAAGAAAATTGAGCAAGCACGTTCCATAATGTCAGTGGCGCGGAGCCATAAATTTAAATGAGGGACTTGACTTTGAATCATAATAATAATTAGGGGATTAAGACTTTAGCGACTAGTCCAGCCTAGTTATTCTGCTAACTTGAGGATTCGTTAGTATATATTAACTAATATTCAAAATATATGAACTAATATCAAATCTGTTGAGTATCTAGATAACACAGACTAGTATTAAAAACATCACAAACTGGTATCCAGATAGCAGATACCAACTAATATCTACAATCAACCAACTAGCATTCAATATGAATACTCTTATGTGTTATCTGAATACTAATTATGTGATTTATGGATACTAATTATGTGATTTATGGATACTATTCTATTTTGTCTATATATTAGTTTGTGAATTTGGGATAATAGTTGATTCATGGTGGATATCAGTTAGCAAAATTTAAATACTAGTCTGTGTTCTCTAGATACTATGTACTTGGATACTAGTTCATGTATTTTGGATATCAGTTAGTATCTGCTAACGAATTTTCAAGTTAGCAGATTAACTTTTCCCTAGTTCCATCACTCTATAGACACAGTAGCGTATTTCATATCACATAGATCATGACAGAGTTCGTAGTCATGCCATCTCTATTACATTTTGACAAAGAGATGATTTTGGCTACATGGTTCATGTGGAAGCTTAACAGCTAAGCAACCCAACAATGATTAAAAGCTGGACCAACAAACAAACAAGTAACTAAGAGTAGAAACCTAAATACCCTGGGTAATACGAGGTGGGCACTAACAGAGCCTCGTCGGGATCCACCAAGCAGAAACCGATGATCTCGTGAGCTCCAGCGGCTCCCCCGACCATAACAATCCTGTCTGGGTCGAACCTCACTCTGTCCCCTCTCACTTTCCCCATAAACTTCGCCATCGCCTGCAGATCGATAATCAATTAACCAACCCCATTAGTAGAACTAAACTCAAAAAATCGAAAAGGGAAAGCAAGCAGGAAAAGCAGGGGGAAGAGAAAAGAGGAAGAGAAGTTGTTATTACATTTCGGAACTGCGGCAATACATGGTAGTCCTGCAAGATGGCTGCGTCTTTGAACCCACCAACACCTTCGGGGGCGCAAATGGAGGCACCAGGGTTTCTCTTCTGCGATTCTTCAACCAGATCGAAGCAGAGATGGTTCCCGGTAGCACCCATCCGGAAGTGAGAATTCAATAGAGAGTGAGATGATTGAGAGAGAACCGAATATGCAATTGTAAGAATGATTCGTGTGAATTGAAGTATGGGGTTTCGGTTTCCCCTATATTTATACCCGATCTACTGAGTTTACAGTGCCCAATTGGAGATGAGAGAGAGAGAGAGAGAGAGAGAGGGAAAGTTAGTTCTATATTACAGATACATACCTAAACTTTCTATCTTAACTAACTTAACCCTACAAACTTTGCAATGTTTACATTTTAATTCATTTGATCGTAATCAATTATGATTACCGTCTCTGCCATCCCCTTGCAAACTAAGCATGGATAGTTTTCAAGCGTAGTATGGGGAACCAATTCGGTAAAGATGTGCACTAGAAGACCCTTTTGTGAAGGAATCTAGCTATGAGTTGGAGGTTGGTGGAGATGTGTTGCACTTTGAGCCTTAAACCCTGAACTTGATTTCGTGTAAAATGAAAATCAATATCAATGTGCTTCGCCCGCTCATATTGGATAGGATTTTGTGTCATCTTCTGTAGGAAACCCGACTCCGGGTTAGAGAGGGAGAGGGCCGGTCGGCCAAGAGGGGGAGGGAAGGAGTGGCAAACTTGTTATTTTGTGTTGTTTCGGTTTACACTACTTAAGGACGCATTTCATTAGTTTTGGGAATTAAGCAATAATAATCAGAAACTATCAAATCCCTAATCTCTATTCTCTCTCTTGTTCTTCCCCAAATCCCCCAAATCCCTAATTTCTACTCTTCTCAATCCCTAATATCCCAATTGGGATTTCTTGTGTTCTACATCTTCGCGATTGGAAGGCTGTCACTGCATATGGTGTAGAGGGTGTGGAGGCCGAATGGGAAGTTCACGGAACAAGTAAGATATCCATTGAAGTTTAGCTACTGTATATGCAAGCGGCTTGTACTCTGCTTCCGAAGATGATAGTGAGATTGTTTGTCGTCTCTTTCGACGCCAACTGGCTATGACAATACCAAGAAAAAACACATAAACAAATAATAGATAGTTTGTTTCCGGACAGCCAACCGAGTGTGAGTCGGAGAAGGATTTTGTGCTTGAAGTTTGAGTTAAGTTATTAATATTTTTGGTGACGCGGCGTGCCAACTGAACAAAACTAATAAATTTTTGGATGGAGATGGACGGAATGATCGCACATTGTTACCATCCAAAACGTGTTATATTGACACGTACAAAATTAGACTTTGCCTGTCATTTTGTAGTAAGTGATAAGTTGTGTTGCCATTTACAATAATTTCCATACTTGTTTGGTGGGGAAGGAAAAGAAAAGGAATTAGAAAATCAGCCCCCTCCCCCCTCTCCAATTGGTGTGCTTTCCCCTCGTCTTCCTTTTACTTTTGATACCTTGGCTTTTTAGTTGGACCAAAAGGAAGAGGGCAACACTTTTCCTTTATTCATGGTGTAGCACTCTAGCTCCACATGTCCTTGCTTGTCCACAATATTCATGAATTGAGATAATGGGTTAGGAAGGGCTAGCTGAGGGGTTTGCACTTCGGGAAGGTGAGGGGAAAGCACACAGAGTCTTTACTTTCCAGCTCCTTCTGCAGCAAGAGAAACCAAGTATGTCAAGCTTTTCTACACCAAGCTCAGGAACCTCTGGAATGAGATTCAAGCGATAACCCTGTTAGACAAGTTCACATAACAAGTCTTGATATATAGGCAACCCTCGCCCTAGACGCAAACACGAAATCGAAATAAATGCATCTAAGTCGTTTTGCTTACAATTTATACTCCTGAACCACACTACTTGAGTTACTTTTCAACACTTCCATCTTTCCGTGTATTGCTGTCTTCTATCATTAACTACCATCATGATCATCTCCAAAAGTTTGTCAACTTAACAGCTCCCTCAGTGCAAACTTCTAACCCTAATAGCCCAGCCAAACCTCCTCGGGTTGAATCTCGGGCATTTCGCTGCTTTATGAACATTGTGTGCGAGCAAAGTGTTCCAGGTAATGAGTGAGATTTCCAAAAGATTCTCACGTGCTTACGCTGGAGATCTCTAATGAGAAATATAACATTTGGATTCGCAAGCCACCAGCGTTCCAAGGTTACTGTTAGCGAACTAACCACTTGGTCCCAATAACTCGAGTTGTTGGGAAAGGGATAGTTAAGCCTTTTAACCTCTAATACGCCCCCTCAAACGAAAGCCGATGCCGAATGGTGGATTTTTACGGTTTGCACAGGTTGAACCCTTGTGCTGCCAAACCACGAGGCTTTAGTTTGCACAGGTTGGACATACCATTCCTTGTGCTAAACGAATTGGCATGAAATGGGGGTAGTTATGAGGATTCGAAACCATGACCTTTCGGTTCTAGGCTCTGATACCATGTTAGCGAACTAACCACTTGGTGTTAGAAACCAATTTCATTAGGGTTTCTACATTTATTATTATAATTACTAATAGGGTGGTTCTTATTATGGTTAGTAGTATTTGAGTCAAATTAGGATAGTTTATTAGGTTTTTCCAGTCTTTCGTTATAAATATGTATTTTGCGTTTAATTCAGAATCAGTCAAGAAAGAATTATCAAATAATCTCCTAAACCCTAATCTCTCCCTATTCTCTCAATTCTCGATCCCTATCCCTCCAAAGCCTCGGCCGATTCTCTATTCTATTCTTCTTCTTCCCCAAATCCCCAATCTCAATCCCTAATTCTATTCGTATAAACCCTAATCCCCAAATATCACATCCGTTAGAAACTTTGTTTCTAACATCTGGTATCAGAGCCATGGTCGAAACTTTGAGTTCGCCACAACTCTCTCCAGGGGACGAACAAGTATATGAAGACTTCAAACCTGAGACCATAAGGATGGAGCTACGACGTAGCGTTGTCTTGTTCCTCACCTTGCCTGGGTTCGAGGAGGAGCACGTAAACGTGCAGGTGGTTGGATCTGATGTGCTAGCAATAACAGGACAACGACCGTTGACTGATGGTAGCATATGGATCCGATTCAAAAAGCAAATCAAATTCAGAGCAATCCACGACATCGAGCACTATCGCACTAAGTTTGGGACAACTGATTTCATCCTTCAAGTTCCAAAAATCACAACACCTCCCGTCCACAACCGTGATGAAGAGGCGGCAACCGAGTCACCAACCCCAAACGTCGCTGCAATGACCCAACCCCCACCACCACCTGCGGCTGAAATCACCACGACGATGCAACCACTGCTGTCGAGCGCCGTTGTGGAACCACCAATCAAGGTGTTTGACTCACCAAGAATAAACGATGAACAAATGCGGCGAGAGGGCTACGTCGCGTCACAGGCAGGCAAATATCCACCCTTGGTGGCTGTCGTTGCGAAGGCAGATGGGGGAAGGATCGATCCGCCACCCTTGCTCCTGGGATCGTCCGATTCTGCAAAAAAAAGGGCACTGCGTCACAAGCTCGTCTCGCAGGGGCGCTGTTCATGGGGTCCCTTCCTCGGGGAGACAGAGCGGGCGACCAAGCTGCAGGGGACGACGAACGTTCGATGGCGCAAGGTAGAGGCAGAGCCGACTCGTCGGGATCCTTCGGCGGCGGCGGCGAACTCACCGTCACTTGGGCTGGTGGAGGCTCGATCGAGGTCAGCGGAGGTTCGCGGCGACATCGGCCGACGGGAAGGGGCAGAAGCGGCGTTGGATCCCCAGCTCGACCAACTGAATCGACGGGGCCGTTCACCGGCGTCGCAAATTGCGCAAGATGCGCGAAGATCGGGGGCGCCGTCCGCACCGCCGTGGACGAAAGTGAAGCCAAGGCCGAGGTCGGCATTTGGCGTGGCTCCTGGCCGCCAGAACGAAGCACAGTCGAAGATGGAGTTGCCAAGGAAGAAAGAATCGGCGACGAGGAAGAAGATGCTGGCGGCTTCTGTTGTGGTTGCGACCGTTAAGGAGGCGCCGTCGCAGACGATGAGGGGTGTTGACGGGAATTTTCGACGGAGGCTCGGCTCGACGGATGAGACAAAGGAGGAGGTCTGCGGCGGCGGCGGCGTTCTCATGAACCCTAGGTTTCCAGCCTTGGGTCGAGCCGTGCAGAGGCAGGGGAGTTCGGGCCACTCGAATGTCTGGGCTTCCGAGTCTGATGGGCCAGCGTTGGGGTCGAAGAAGGGCGGCATGGATTTCTCTTCTTCCGGCCGGACTTCAAGCGACGAGCAGGCGGAGTCGATGGCGATGATTGCCTGGTCAAGCTTGCCTCTTCTCCACGGGATGGGCGACTTGCCGGAAATGGAGACGGGGACAGGGTCGAAACCGTCGACGAAGGTTACGAAGACGGACGGGCCGATGCTGAGTGTCGAGACGCGGGATGTCGGCGGTGGCAGCATTCTGCCTGCAACCCTATGTCGCACCCGCAAACGGCCTGAGAACATGGGCCAAGGGATTCAAGCTGTGAAAGAGGATGGGCCAGCCGAAGTGAGCCAAGCTATGCGGTTCATTTTTGTTCTTGGGCCCGGAAGAACAAGTTGGGTAGAGAGCTTTGGTGGGCCACGACGTATGGATTGGCTGGAAAGGGAAGAAGAGGTATATGAGCTCTATTCAGACCTGATGGCTAGGACGAGCGGGCCGCAATATGCGAGGGATCGGGCCGAGTCCGGGTCAGAGATTGGGCCGGAAATATTGGGTATTACCAGATCGAACAAGAGAGAGATTGGGCCCAAGTTAGGCTATCTGGTGAGTTTTCCCTTGTACGAACGTGGGCTAATATTAGAAGAAAGTGGATCGGGTCTGCAGGAGAGAATAAAGGCCCACATGGCTTGTGTTTTGAAGAAAATGGGCTCAATGGCTTTGAATGACAATTCTTTTAGGGTAGTAGATGGACTTTTGGAAGAGCACGGCCCAAAAATATGTGGAGAAGCAACCAAGGCCGGTAATGGGTCAGCTACAAGAAAAATATTTGAGGGCCTTAATGAGTTGGTACTCAATGATAAATTCTTGTACAAGAAAGTATCCTTGAAGCCCTTGAGTGGTGGGAGTGGGGAGCCAACGAAAGAGGGGCTGTTGGAGTTTGAATTTGTTAGGAAAGCAATTAGCGGGCCCAAAGAAGTGAAAATCGAAGAGCCAATTCGGCACAGGAAGATCGGTGCAAGAAGCCCAAAACCGGAGTTGGAGCCTGATTGGAAGAAAAGGAAGCGCACAACACGGAGCAAGCAGGAGTGGGTCCAGTCAACCTTGAGGGCAAGGTTGGTCTGAAGGGGGAGGAGATGTTAGAAACCAATTTCATTAGGGTTTCTACATTTATTATTATAATTACTAATAGGGTGGTTCTTATTATGGTTAGTAGTATTTGAGTCAAATTAGGATAGTTTATTAGGTTTTTCCAGTCTTTCGTTATAAATATGTATTTTGCGTTTAATTCAGAATCAGTCAAGAAAGAATTATCAAATAATCTCCTAAACCCTAATCTCTCCCTATTCTCTCAATTCTCGATCCCTATCCCTCCAAGGCCTCGGCCGATTCTCTATTCTATTCTTCTTCTTCCCCAAATCCCCAATCTCAATCCCTAATTCTATTCGTATAAACCCTAATCCCCAAATATCACATCCGTTAGAAACTTTGTTTCTAACACTTGGTCCCAATAACTCGAGTTGTTGGGAAAGGGATAGTTAAGCCTTTTAACCTCTAATAGTTACAGACAGCACTTAGCAGCACAACAAAGCAACATATTCACATCTATGGCATACATGGGAAACGAGCAGCATATTCACCTTACAGCTGCTTCTTCCTTATCTACCCCAAATTCTATTTGTCCATCCATTCATCTTGAACTGCAAACCATATTCAAGAACCTTAAATTACAGCAAGGTAGACAACGAGACCAACTTCTCAATGACAGCAGACCGTTCATTGATCTGATATTCCCACGTTCCACCGTGAATGAATATACAGACAACAAGAACAACAATATCATTCATAGCTTCATATACTGGTACCACTGTACCAGTTGTTCCAAGAACAAATTCGACCGAATTCCAGCTCATGTAACAAGGTTGTGAGTGATTGAACTGCGTTATTACTATAAGCATCAACAAACTAACCAAAAGGAAACCCAGATAGAACTTTGTTCCTCTACACAATTAATGTGTCCTCAAAGAACTTGCCTGTCAGCAGCCTCGGCCACAATGGGCAACCGGGGGAGCTGCCCCAATCAGATCAAACTCAGAAAGACGGCATCCAATATGAAAGAAATCTAAGGACCAATGTGATTTCTACGGTATAAAATGGCGACGATTCTTTTAGAACTTTATCAGAAGCCAGAAATCTTATCAGTAACTGAGGCCAGACACAGGGATTTGATCTGCAATGACTCTAAAATCGTCATTAACAACCTCCCCCACCCTCATATAAAAAGATGAGATGGAAGGAGATGCAGTGCTTTTCTTTACAATTAATGGTTAGAACATACCTGAGAAGTTCAATAATCTGAACTCATCATTCTAACAAAGGGAACAAAATTGTTCCAGTTTTCTACCGAGAAGATTTTCTCGTTCATTCTGAAATAAGTAAATGACCTTACAGCTTCTGCCTGCGGGTGATTACAGTTGGCCAGTATTTGCCTCAATCCCGTCTGCAAGAAAATGGCACATATTCATCATATCGAGAAAAATCTTGAGAGAAAAGAGCAATCATAAACAAAAAGCAGACTCAGTGAATCCTCCCTCCCTAGATCGGAAATCATACAAGTGGACATGAACAGGCAATGCTACTAAACAAGATATCCTTTACCTTATCCAACCGTTCATTAGCATTTCGTCCAATCAAATGTATTCTTTTCTTTGAAATTTTGCATATCTGTATCAGTGAAAAATCAACTCAGCTTGAAATGCTAAAAAGATACGATCACATAAGCTCTGATCAGAGTAACTTGGGTTAAGAAACTGGCTACCTAGAACTCTAAACTCAGTCCACAGAAATTAGATATGCCCGTTGAGAAAGAAGCAAAACCTGTTGAAGTAAGCCTTCAGGGCTGCAATGATAAGACGGTGGGTTCTCGTTGTCCATCATTTCTAGGCAGCTGCTAGAAAATTACAAAACGAATGAGCATGCGTAAAGGAACAACATTTGAAACTATAAAAACAGAGTTGACTATAATAGTTGAATAAAAGCACATGTAGTTCAAGTCACATAAATCACTCCCTTGAAAGATAACAACAAAAAACAAAACAGCAGCCTTTCTAAAGGGGAAGTAGCAACAGAAACAAGTTAGGTCTGCACACCACGCGTTATAAGATCCAATATATCAAACAAAGACAATATAGTATGGCCTACAACTCACAATGATTACATATATTTCGTACAAGTGTCATAAATTCCAGTGCAACAGCATTAGATGCAGAAGGTGAGTATCAGAGTCTTACGGAATATGCAAAGCAGCACCATGACGGGACAGCATTGATGCAAGAGGATCATAACCATCCCTGAGAGCAGTGTTGTAGTAACCAGCTGTAAGTTCAGCAGGGTGCGATATAGTCTGGTACCACCAGTATACTCCACCAATTTTAGCCACCAATATAACCGATGTTTCTACAGTTTGCTGATACTTCCTCAATGCATTAGCTGCCTTAGCCAGGATAGCATCTGCATGACAGATTAGCTTGCCACTGTACCATTCCTACAAAGAGGAACACCTTGATGAGATTCTCACCATTCTGTATGGTCCTAAGAGTAGTTAACATAGACTCACTCCAAGGACTACACTATTTATTTAGCAATACAAATAGAACACAGTAAATTCCAGTGTCGCTAACTCAGAAACATCAGCTCCATAAGTCAAGGGTCGTGATTTTAATAAGTTTAGGGATTGATGATAAAAGATTGTCCATCTAATGTATTTGTGAATAATGTACCTCATCTCTATCTCATAGAACATACATTCTTTCACTTGCAGTCTCAGAACTTCCTTGGTTATGTAACCTATGCTACATCCAAATAATAGTAAAATAAGAATTTGAACCTCATTCGGCCAGATGCTAATGAAAGAACCGGCATTAAAAACAACAGCCATCCCCAAGCATGTAAATGTCGGACCATGAAACAAAATGATCCAGATATTTACATGAATACAGGGGCAAAACCCTTTATAAGAATTTAAAGCTTAACAAGTAATTTTAAAAAATACATACAAGGAAGAAGCGTCCATAATCCGATATAAAGTTCTCCTGTCCATCTCCGAAAAAAGGTACCCCTGGTGGAAGACTATTGTAACAACCAGCATTCTGGGGTCCCATATCTCCCCATTCCGGCTTTCCCACCTGACATGCAGCTATCCTCAAGTCCTCCATCCTGAAAGTTAAATAGACATGTAAATATTGAACTTCGAATTAACAGGACAAGTTCAACACTTACATATATTTGTCATAACATTGGAATTCACCAATTCCAGGAAATTGCCATCTTCCGTCACCCAAAGGATGTGCTGGATACCTGCATGTTCTCCATGAGTAAATGCCGTAGAACTGCATCACTTGTCGTCATTCATTAACAGCTTTAAAGTACCTTAGCTCCCCAGAAGGACCAAGACCAACACTTATTTCTTCAATTATACACCCAATATAGGGCTCAAATTTGTTAATGAAATTGACGATGAAGTCCTCGTAACATTGGAGAGCAGTCCGTCCATAAAATAGAGGTAGTCGGTCCACTCCTAGTGTGAGATAATCAGCATTGGACAGACCACTTATGTCTCGGTAGTATATATCCTTGTTGCTTTTACCAATCTATGAAAATGAGAAAGGCATAAGTCCTGGTACTGTTTTGCTTTGGGTACATGCCCAGCATGCAAGTAGTTAATAAAACATGGACCGAAAATGTGGCGGCAAAACAATGTCACCCTAGGGTCTGGAGGCTGAAAGAAAAATGGTCAAATATCCGATATACGACATTCAATATGCTGCAGGGAAACCTAGATCCTAGACAAGGAGATATTTGAGATAAGCAAATGCATACAATGATGAAGTTTTCTCTGGCTCTGACATAAATCAATGAATAGGCAATCAAACTGGGGCAACAGTGTAACTGTAAAACATAGTTGAAGAAAGTGTACCTCAACAATCCACAGAGGAAGACTCACGCCCCACTTTCTATGCTGATGTAGATTTGAATGAAAATACAAAGCAACATGCAACTTCAACCCTGATTCTGAAATCAGTCCGAAAAGATCTTCATAAAGGCCCCAATTATATTCAAGAGGAGCAAAACGCTCCACAATTCCCCACCAAATCTCTACCGCAATTCCATGCACACCAGCCAGCTTGAGTGCTTTTAGAGATACAGTTAATGCCTTGAGTCTGAAACCAAGGAAAATAGAGCAGGGGTTGTCACTCCAGTTCACCACCAAAGACGATAATATGAAACAGAGAATATAGCATCGCATCCAAAATTTCATATAATGATATTGTAACATACGCCTGAAGATACTAGAAGTGCATTCAATTCAATAATCAGACTCGTCCGACCATTCCATCGACGTGTCATTATCAGAGCATTCACAACCATGTTAACAGAAAGGCAGAAAAGACCCCTTACTGCACTCTACACCGCGGACAGTAAAAACAACCTCAATTTCATAACTACATTGCATTCAATCTCACCTTTTGATCCTTAGACTCCCAGAAGCATCAGCACCAAACGTGTCCACGGGCATCACAACGAATACCGGTACCCTCTTGTGCTTTGATGATTCAAGTACAGTAGAAGTTGATTTCTCTCGAGCATCCATGCTAAGGAGAGAGCATCAAGATATCAGAGTAGAACCCCATTCTTAGATCAATCCTAAGACATGATTGTTGACCTAATCCTCCTCTCCTTAGACGTGAATTGAATTAAATACTTGGAACTTACCAACATGGCGGCTCAGGCACTAATACAGTAACACGTTAATGATGAAAACCAACAAATTGATTCAATTGACCGCAAGCAATTTCATTCTCACAAACTAACTACAACTCCAGTCATGGAAATTTGGCCAAACTAGAGGGACAAATTGCAAGCAATGCCCTAAGCAATAACTGAAATGCTAAAAAAAACTCTCGACAGCTAAGGGGAAATTATCAGGATAGGGCGAGGGAGACGCGAGGAACTTCGTCTACTTGGTTATTTTCCAAGGAACCAAACACGAAGCTCGCCAGAAGTCTCGAGACGGAGAGGCTGACCTCAGAATGCGGTAGCTGACGCCTAGCGATCGCCAGCGGGAGCCAAAGAGGTGCTTGTTGAAAGGAGGAATCATCGAAGCGTTTCGGAGATTGGTTCGGGTTCTTCGCCGCCGCTCGATAAAACTCAACTCCTTGAAAACGCAGCAGCACCTCCAGCTGGCTAGCCTGTGTGCAATTCCTCCTCCGCTTTCCGCCATTGTTTCGTCTCCTCCTCCAATGGAACGGAAGATCGCTCGCTCGCTCCCTGCAGATGAAGCTACAGAGATGAAGCTCCGGAACTGGCTCAGTGGCTCGTCCAACGAAAAGGAAACTATTTTATGTATTTTTCTGGAAATGTTCATTTTCCTGTGGTACTTCTTCGAGTTCATTTTCTGCACGTAAAAATTTTATCGTTGAGAAAATAAGTTTTGCCCTCCGGCACGAATTTATTTTTTCTGTTGATATTTATCTTATCTACGATTTAAAGTAAAATACATTCGTATAGTCATGACTCACGAGCTTGGTATTTGTGATTGATTAAATAATCACAAATATATTTAATTTGGTAGAAAGACAATTATAGGTGCTGTTTATTTGAATCTTTTTGGGCTTTAAATGTTGAACTCAACAAAATTAAATGACGTATATAGTTATTTATAGTAGTTTATGTTGATATTATCTCAAATTAAATGGTATCAAAGTTCTTGTTTAGTATTGAAATTTTTCTAGCGGTGAAATTATTGTTCTAGTAGTAATAATATAAATGGCCAAACGATTAACCGTTATTTTCCTTTCTAATGTTGGAGTCTCATTGCAATACTGAAACGTTTCTTATAGTGGAATCATGTTCAAACACCTGATAAAGTAATAACCAATTTGTTGACCTTTCCATTGAAGAGATCAACCGTTCTTTTTTCCTTTGTAATGATGTAGTTCCATTGCAATAAATAAAATGTGTCATCCGACTAACCGTTTGCAAGAAACGATCAACCATTTCTTCGACTCACAATGACTTATAAGTGACCATAGCAAATATATATTTGGTTATTTTGATAGCGGTAGTGGAAACAAATGCATGCAACGTACATGTAGGTTGCTTTGTTTCAACGGGGTACGCGCCCCTTCCACTTAACGCTCTGTTCACGAAGGAGGGAGAAGAGAGTGGGAGGAAAAATTGGAAAAAATTGCAGAGATAAAAAACTTTTCCTCTGTTCATGAGTTTTGCTGCCCCACAAAGAGGTGATATTATTGGAGGGGGAAGCTATTGTAGCAAACGTCCCTCCAATTTAGAGTGAAAACAACTATTACACTTATTATGTCCATTTTTACCTTTCAAATATGAACATTATTTCCCCCTCATTATTTCACTATCCTCAAATTTTCCATCCCTCCCTATTTTTCTCATCCTTTTCATGAACATAGTGGAAAGTTCGCTCGCTTGAACCAAGTGTGGTTCGGTAATATAGCAAGTGGTTGACCGTCCTACCCAATACTCATTAACATCTGGTTTGGCCGAATATCCAACATTCACTTGACAAATATATGAATGCATAGATTGAATTCATCTACTTTAATGAATGTCTAAAGATAATGTACACTTAAAATGTTACAAAATTTTAAGTAATTTTGTCACTACTAACTGCCATGTGTCCCGACTATGTGACTAGCATTAGAGGATCATATCAAAATAGAGGAATAAGTCGGTCAATAAAAGAAGTTGCTTTCTTCTTCTTTCTTTCTAACTGAACCTTGAATCTAATTCGTCCATGGCGTTGCCGAACGAGACTAGCACCATTGGAGTTGGAGGCATGATTTTCAGGGGAGGACTAATGAGAGGAGTCAGCTTTCGCTTGCCATTTGAGAGTGTAAGAGACAATCCGCGGATGTGGCGGTCAATTATTTCTCCGAAATGGTAGAACAATAATTTCCATTTGGTATCCGTTATTAAGTTTATGGACGATAATTTTGATGGTCCAACAAGAATTTTGTTTATATGGTTTAGTTGCAACAAAAACAAGTTAGATGGTTAGTGTGCAACATGTGTTATACTTAAGTGGGAGCCAAGGCATTTTACCCTACGGAAAGGCACGTCTCTATCGCCTCGGTTTTTGGGGGCCTATAGGCTAGGCTAGGCCAGTCAGTGGGTGAGTGAGTGAACTTGTCGCCATGGATTGATACTTGGCTGAGAGAGTTGGTCAGTTTGGTCGTGTGATTGGGTATGTGTGGGTGGACTTACTTTGACTGTCTGGCTGGGAAGAGTGGGAGTTCGATTTGTTCAGTCAGTCTATCGGTTATTCGGTTTAGTCATCTATAGACAGTACTAACGAGTTGAGTTCAAAGAGTTCATATGAATGGTTAGATATGATTCAATCTGCTTGAACTGGGTTCGGAACAGGTTTCCCGGACCAGATGCCCATCAGCATTGTATTCTTGACCTAACCTTCTTTCTTCCACGTTGATCAATGAAGAGGAAAGTAAGGAATCATCCACATTCCCTCTCAAATGATTGAAACTCTGATTCTTTTTTTTTTTAATCCCAAACGGTGTAGATATTAGAGAGGTTTATTTCCAAGATTCCCCCAAGTGGCCAAGTTGCAATCGAGCTGGCCCTAACAACTCATAATCAGACGCAAACAGTACATGAAAATATCATCAAAAAAAACAATTACATGTACATAAAATCATAATGGTAGTAAAAACTCCACTAACACAGAAAAAGGTGCAGGGAGGGAGAGGGAAGGAAACGCCCGAAAAATATGAACAATCACTAAATCCAGAAACGCCCAGATCGCTACACGTGTCTCCCTCCACCAACGCCGTCCGTCCCTAGTTGATAAAAGATTCCGTTTCCCGCCTTGATCGAGAATCTGAGAATGACGGCATACTTTTTGGGCTCAACCGGGCCATGGGCCCACACATTAATCTACCTGGGCCTACCCAAGCCGACTCCCGGCCCACTATACACAGGACCACCACCACCACCATGACCCATTATCGCCGCCCCACTATTATTATTATTATAAAACCCACCACCACCACCACCGCTACCACCACCACTCCCGCCGGGCCCGGGCCCATACCCTTGAAACCCACCCAGCCCAAACCCACCATCCCCATCGCCGCCTCCCGGCGCGTCCCTCTCACGCCCCGCCACAACGGTGGCCTTCTCCCCCTCCAGCTCCCGGAACCGCTGGAGGTAGCCCTTCAGCGGCTCCACGTAGTCCTCGAACCCGAGCGTGGTCATGGCCCACAGCAGGTCGTCGCCGTTGATGGTCTTCCGGCGCTCCCGCTGGCACTTGTCGGAGGCCTCGCCGGTGATGAAGCTGATGAACTCCGACACGCACTCCTGCACCGTCTCCTTGGCGTCCTTGGAGATCTTGGCGTTGGCGGGGAGGGCCCGCTTCATGATCCTGCTGACGTTGGCGATGGGGAGGAACCTGTCCTGCTCCCTCGGCGACGCCATCTCGCCGCCGCCGGCGTTCGGGTGCCCGCCCGAGTCGTTGTCCGAGTCGCCCATAGCAAACCCAGAAACCGAACCGGAACCAGAGCTAATGTAAAATGGAAAGAGATTGGGATGACAAAACGCCGAGTCTCCGATCTCGAGCTTTTGAAGGGGAATCGGAATTGAGGGAGGAGATGATGATGATGAGTAGTAATAAAAAAAAAATTGCGGGTGAAGAGGGGGCGGTTTAAAAATAAGGAAGGTGGATTTGTCGCGGGGTGGAGGTGGGGACGTGGCTGATTCTCTGCCGTTGTTTCTCGATAAGTGTCTTCTGAGAAGGGACGGGGACCGAGCCGTCGGATGGTGGTGGCGGATGATCTTGGCCGTTGGTTTCGTATCTATCACGTGGGTGCATTATCTGACTTGGCATTTCTTTTCCTTCTTCTATTTTTTTTGGCTTTTCCATGTATTTTTTGGGTTGGTGACCTGTCAATTTAGTATTTCTTTTCCTTTGAGAAAAAAAGCAAAAACAATGAGGGAACGGATCAGGTTAGTAATCATGAGTAACTGTCTATATCAGCATGACATCATTATCTTCTCTCTCCTGGAAAGTCTTTAAGTCGAAAATTAATTTTTTTCACAGATAAATCAGATTAAATGTGCTATTTAAAATGATATCCACTTTGATATATTTTTAGTACAAAAAAAAAAATTGAATAATTTTTTACCAGTCATTACCATATGGTATGCTCCAATTTAATACCACATGGTAAGAAAGCATACCATGATAGTATGAACATAGCAATATGGTAAGAAGGTTGAATACATGATAGTATGAGTATATTAACTGTCATTTACAACTTTTATCATTGTTTACTACAAGTTACCACCCACATACCATAGTGGTAAAGTATGGTAATTTTTTATCTTGTGTTTTTTTTCGCCCAGAAATTTATAGATCCAATAGATCATGATGAGCTCATTACTTCTAAGCAAACGTTTTCCAAAACGACTTAAAAACGAAGAAATTATCATATGGTATGTAGTTGGTAAAAAAAGTTTCTCAAAATATATTGAAAATTGATCTCATTTTGTAGAGCACAACGAACTCGTTCCATCTGTGCAAAAAAAATTGAAATCCGAGTTAGAACGAAGAAGATAAGAACCGATTAAGAAAACTAGGAAAAATAAAATACTTTTAATTGACAACCTTTAAATCTGAATTTTCTGGACCCACTTAAATCTAAAGGTCAAGATTTAGTTACTCATAGGTTAGTTACCATTGGTTACTGACCATATCTTAAGCCAACAATGAGAGTGCGACGATTTGGTCCGGTGTGAATTAGATCCAACTCATGAAAGTAGTGCCCGAATAGTGAAATACATTATAGAATTGATGATCGAATTAATTATAGATTCTGTCCATTTTTGTTGGTTTAAATGTTAATTCAGTACATTTTTATTCAATATTTATAAAATTCACGTGACCAATGACAGAATCACATTATATATATTCGATTCGATACAGGAAACTAACTTCTAAATTATATATTTGAAGAAAAGTAAGAATAAAACACTAAGACCAGGATCTTTTTTGGGTGGAAAGTTTTGAGTCAACATCCATATACTTGTATTTCATTCATCATTTATTGGGGTGGCATTGCAATTTGCAGCAGTTTCTTTTTCTTGCTGGAAGGGGAAGAACATGAACTGCAACTTCAGTCACATTAATGGTTTTTCCTTCTCGTGCATGGGAAATTAATGGAGACAGGACCGGAAAAACGCCGTGACTTACTGCACAGGCAACTAATAATCATGGATCATTAGACACTGATATACAACGAGAAAATAACCAATCGAAATTATAATTATCAATTGTTAGTTCGAAAAAAAATCGCGAGTTGTAGTTTAGCAGTAAAGATCTGATCGACGCAGTTCATTGAGATATGTGTTGTCTATATACTTTTTCATTCTCTTTATTTATTTTCTACATATTCCTTTTTGTCTTTGTTTAACCCCGCATTGATAACGAAATTTACTCAATTGTATAAATGATAGGAGAAACTATAAAGAAAAATAAAACATAGACTAGGCCGGGTTTTTGTACGAAAATCTTTCATTTTAACAAACCAAAAGGCAGTATAACCATATATCTATATCTATTTTTGACATTGACAATGTTGTAGCAATACTTATAATTCTAACAAGAGCATACCCAAAAGCTCGTGTAAAATTGTACTTTACTGATGTTAGTATTCGAATTCGAGACTATATGAAAATCGTTAGATGAGTACTCTTGATAAAACTTCAGGATCCGCCACTAAATTCTAACGTGACCAATTCTCGAGAGTGCAGTGAATTCCATAAATTTATCTCCCTCGCATAATTGCAGTTGTAGTGAGATTCTCATGAAATGAAGAAAAAAAAACCTTATCTCCCTTATTAATGTCATTTATAAATATCCTCATGATTAAGACTCTACACTTTGCTTTGGTGAATAATCTACTCGAAGAACTTGTTTTCATTAATGTTTTTTTTTACATCAAAACAGAAAAACCAAATGTAAGGAAGGATCAACTATAAATCTATAATAATTAATCTATAAAGACAACAAGACATGGAATATTATAAAATTAAATGTCATTGTCCAACACGTAAACCTACTACAATATATATCTTTATTATAGCGTAATAGCAAAAGAATAATCGGAGCATTGGATTGAAAATGAAGGCAGAGGTGGGGATAAATGATTAACAAAGGAAATTTTGTAATAATTTAGGTAGCTAATGAGTCTCACAACATCATTATCAGCTCATGTAAACACCATGTGCTGTCCACTTAAGCCATTTAATTAACCCTTTTTATTTTTTATTTTTGTGTCGAAATTGTGTATATGACTTTGGAAAAGAGACCTTTGTTTTTCTGTCTTCAGTGCTCCACTAGACCACTATCACTAGTAGCAGTCACTACTCGCTCAGTGGAGCATTTCTTTCTCTATGGCTCTATGGATGCTCGAGAGGTTTTCTTCCCTCTTTTTTTTTTGTTTTTTGGTTTGTTTTTGTTTTTGGTTTTTCCCTTCGCATATAGCTAGATATAGCTAGCTAGGCATATTGTACGATTGGCAAGTCGTTTCTATTAACAGATCACAAACCAACCAACACCATGAGTTGATCTTAGTCGTCCAATCAGTACCGTACCGTGGGTCAGCGTTGAGTTTGTACGCCTCGACGTTGAACTCACTTGCGGATTGGGTGGCTTGCCAGACTAGGATGAATACGATTATTGTGGAATGGGTTTGATTAATTTCGTTATTGTGGCTAGGGAAGATATACGAGAACACTGATTAACAGTATTGCGGTGATGGCCTATGGTCGAGGAAATCATATAACGAATATGTTGTGTTTGATTAATTTTCGTTATAATTAGCTAGAGGGATTCGAGTATGAACAGTTTCTTTGTCTCTTACCTGAATATTTACTTTGTGCATTAGTGCTTTTAATTCGTGCATGGGCCGAGGCAGGAGACGATGGAACTGGGCAATAAAACCAGCATCAACAGGTTCAGCTAAATGATTATTAATATCGTTGTCAACAAGCATGGCCAGGACAAGCTGATGTTTCTAACGGATTGTTAAATCTTCAAACAAACTGTAGAGTTCACTGTGGATGCCACTTCTCAAACTGGGATTCATGGCAATGAGGGTCCAGCCATTCCTTAGGAGAAGAGCTCTTCTGCTGCTGCTGCTGCTGCATCTTGGTGCCTGCTTTCCCTCCTCCGCCGCCACCAACTAGTTCCCGCAGATTCTCCAACTTATTCTCCCGCCCTGTTCCGCTGATCCTCTTATCAGCGTCCTTCAGCGTCTGCTTAAATCTTTGTTTGCGGCTGGATGAGTTCACTTCTTGCTGCTGCTGCTGCTGCTGCTTTGCTTGAGAAGGTGGTGCACCGTGCGGACCTAAGTAAATCTGCTCTTCTTCCCTTTCACCCTGCAGTAGCGGAATGATACAACGGTGATCATACAGACACAAGAATGAGAGAAATGCTATTCTGCAGTCCCACCAACCTGAACGAATAGGGCTGTTTTAAAACTTGCCTTCGGAGGAGGAGGTTTGGGGATTTCTACTTCTGAATCATTCTTTGTGGATTGATCTCTGCTATCTATTTCTAAGCTTGGAATCACGAACCCATCGGTGTCTGAACATAATCACGAAAGCGCAGAAAAAGTGTCAGCGAAGTAGCATACTTTTAAAAGTTTTCAAAGCCAAAGATTACGTAGATAGACTAATAGTTATGAAACAGAGGAGCATCGTATGAAGAAATTTGAGCACGTCTAAATAATATGTCAGGTTCGTACAGAATAACCATTGAAGTGAATAGAGATGTTTGTCTGGCATCCCTCCGCAGGAATGAGAGATATAAATCATCCAAGCATCACAATAATTTAAGATTGGAAAATCGTTAACATACAAATTGCTTTACAGTACGGGAGCTGCAAACAAGAAGTATACATATTTCATGCTAAAAATGAAAGGATTGTACAATATTGGCAACAAACACCAGAACAAGATGGCAAGGGAACCAATCCATATAATACTGGTATGTCATCCGCATGCCTTCTATGTAAAAATGAGAACTTCTGTACGGATGGAACCTTGGTTGTCACTTATTTTATTCTTCAAGATCTGTTACCTTGTCTAAGTCTTAAAACATTTCAACATCAAACCAACCAACCTTAAAAATGCTATAAAAGAACATGAACTTTGAAACTAAAAAAGTTGCCTTCTAAGCAGGGAAGATCAAGATTCAGACCTAGAAAGTAGAACGATATAACGGTATGCAGTTCAAAAGGTAACACAAAATCAATGCTCTTAGGACGAATGAAAAACTATAAATTAACTTCCACTTCCCCTGTTGTGGCTGGTGTTAGAGAGTACTAAACTGGGTAATCTAAGGATACAATGTAGGAAAGACCAGTTTTCCCCCCTCCTTAAAAGCTCATCTTAGGTTAAACCCATGAAATGTGCACTTGTTTGCTAAGTAAGTATCTTCAACCACCAGTGAGTCCACCTACTAACTTAAATCTTCACCACAAATGATGCCCAGATTAGCCACTCAAGTAAAGACTGGCACAATAACTTCGAGTTATCATGTTTTTTTTGTTGTTGGCAACAAAGCACCCTGGAAATCCTATCAAAACAAGTGATGTTCAAGTTTCCTCCGATTGAACAACTAAAGCAGGGCAGAGATTTCAGCTGCATCCCTCTTTTTGAACACTTTCAAAACCATCAGGATCCATTAACTGGAACCAAACCAGGACAACTAAGCAAAGACAAGCTAATACTTGGGTGGAGAAAAAAGTTCAATCACAGAGCTCGAAAGCACCTACCATAAAACCACTCATCGAATACTACCCAACTACATGCTTGCTCAGTTACAAATCAACCAATGCAAGCTTAAACCGCAAGTTGCGAATTTGCGACCAGATCGAGCATCGCAAAAATTTCAGCAAGAAGCTTCATAAAATAATTCAAGCCCTTTCAATTGTTCGCCTGACCCGATACAAAAGGGAAGGAATGAAAACAATATACATACCCCATTCATCGTCTTCATCATTGATCGGAGATTGGGCGTGCGGTTGGGAAGGGTCCATAGGGCGCTGCCGATCATGGATTTCAACGGCCAGAGGGTGGTGAAGCCCAGAAATCTCCCTCTCCGCTCCGCTCCAACCAGACAAACGGGGAGAGAATCTCCTTTTCCGAGTGCTGGTGATTACGCGCGTCCCAGGCGGCCGAACTTCGTTTTAGCGGGAATGAAAAAGTGGGGAAAAGGACCTGAAGATCTCCCAAAATCCCTGATATGGAGGCTACCTTTCTTTTCTTCCTCCTCCTAATTAAAATAAAAAGGGTTTATTTTGCCATCAGATTAATCGATTTTAATTAATTAATTGTTTGCAGATTAGATTCGCAAACCCTAACCCTAGAAACGTCTGTTAATTTATTTTTTTAGGACCGGTGGATAGGGTAGGGGAGAATAATAAACGAAAAACTGCAACGGACATATAATAGGGTGGTATATTTGTGAAAAATAATAGTATAGGGTATATTTGTTAATTTAGAATAGTAGATGAGTACATAATGTTATTATTGTATTTTAATTTGATAATGAGACTGCTTTTCTTATATTTGATTCATTTCGGCACTGGGACATGGAGGATGTATGGTAAACATAAATCAATCTAAAACGATATCCAATGACGAAGAATTCAACTAATACGATTTTGATTGAGTTTCTTCAAATTCCATAAGTAAAAGTAATCCAAATTATGCAATTATGCTGAGGTGCAACAATCATGTTGTATACCTTATCAATTCACCATTTTACACTTATCAAAATCTTATTATAGTGTTCGTTTTCATTCCTTATCAAGTTGCAGATTACCACAATTTGGTGGTAGCAGTAAAGCACTCCTTTTTGAAACACATGTCATCCTTTGATTGACAAAACACTGCGTACCAACATCAACTTCGGTGAAACGCCTCTATCCGGTCTTTTTCATGCAAGTTTTGTAATTTTCGAGCCAAATGCAGCTCAAAATATTCTCTTGTTTGGTTTCGATAGACAAACATCATATATTTTTGTACGAGAATGATTCGACATCTGACAACCGTCATAGTATGTGTTTAACATCAACATATATATATATGGAAAAAAAAAAAATGTCCAAAACGAAAATTGTAGGAGTGAATGACAAAGTTATTTACTCTTTAGACTACAAAATTCAAAGAGATCTTCGATCAAAATCAAACCAAACTCGAAGTTTTGGCGTGCGAACAGACTGTGCGTGTCTGTCTTGTTTGTAGGGCGTCTAGAATCTTTGGTAGCCAGCGAGGGAAATCAGTGCCCGTGGATTAATCATGTCATCAAGCAGCCATGAATGCAGAGTGTACAGTATCAAACCATTTAAGTCCATGAAGCAGAGCAGAGCAGAGCAGATCCCGCCATGAATCCTGAACCTGACCCATTCAAGATTTTATTTCATGTCGGTTTTGAATGGGAGACCATCTCTCTGTTTGAATGAAAATGGCCTCCATAGATGGAATTGAATCGAGTATTAAAATAGCTTCAGCGTGCAGTGAAACTCTGGAGTCATTGTTTCATCTCCGGACAGCCCAAAGTGGGTCATCATCATTACTCTTTTTTCCTGTCTCATAATCAAGCTTAGCTCCTAATTGTTTCATTTGCAACCCCAATTTTTTCTTGATGCTTTTCAAACATAAATGAGTGCCTATTCAATTGTCAGCACAAAGAATTTGCTTGTTGTGGACATTGTAGATTAGGTTGGAAAAAGGCAATTAAGCTGCTTGCTTGTAGATTAGAGATGGGTTTTCATTCATGGACCCATGTGGAGCACCATTCCCATTTCCATTTCCCTCCAAAGCTTTGAGATTTGCCCTCACGGTTGGGTGGTTAAATTAGTTTCTTTTTGGTGGTTTCAAGAGAATCAATCAGCAGAAGAAAGAAAACCCATTTTTCTAATCTAGGATTTGAGAGCTCCAAGGCAGAAGAAGAAGCAAAAGCTCTTTTCTGTTGTTCTTGTATGTACCCACCAACCAGATTCCTCTGTTCTTCTTCCTTTAATTGTTTGGATTAGCACTCTGAAAGTTTGCACCTTTTTCCCACCCTCCTTCCTTCCTTGCTTTTGCTTTTTTCCCTCTTCTCTTTGTTTCCCTCCCTCCTTTGGTTCTTAAAAAGAGAAGAGCTTGGCTGGAGCTTTTGGCTAGATCTGCCCTTCCCGTCTCCAATCCATTTCCTCAAGCTGTTTCTTTGGAAAATGGATAAACCGTCGCCAGGTTGGACTACTCAAACATGGCATTCCTTCACCAACTTACTCCAGCCCTCATCATTGCTTTACATTGCACTCCTGTCTTCTCTAGCTACTACTCTGTTCCTTTGTTATGGCTTCTCTCCTCCTCTGCTTGTGTCAATCCCAGTTCTGCTTTTCTCCTCCATCTTCATTTCATCATTCTCCAAGAGAACAGTCGTCACTGCTGCTGTTGATGTGGAAGAAGAAGAAGAAGAAGAAGAAGAAGCTGATGACAAACCGAGTCAGGGTTCGGAAACTATAGTTGCTGTTGTTGTTCCAGAGCTGTGTGTGACACAGAAGAGTGACAATGAAGCTTCTGAGTTGCATGAGTATCAAGTGGAGTCGACGGAGTTCCCATCAGATGGTGAAACCAGTAGCGATGATTCTCCCAGGAGTGAGATTTTTGAACTCAAATGGATGAAGCACTTCAACAACGATGCCTGCGAGAGCTTAGCATTCTGTGAAAGCTCAGCTTCTGATTATGATGGTGAAGAAGTAGAAGAAGATGATGATCTCATCGAGATATGTCTTCCTCCAAATGAGAGCTCTGTTTATGCTGACGAATTGTCATCCATGGGAACGTTTTCGTGGGGAAAGCCTGGTTTCGCGAATGAATTCGTCATAAGGGAAGAAGACGAAGAAGGGATGATGGAGGTGTTGGAAGAGATTGATGAGGTGAATGAGGAAGATAACTTGATGGAGATTGACCTCTCAATTGGGTCCATTAAGTCTTCCAGCTTTCACATGGAAGACTGATATAAGTGACAAGTTTAATGTATGCAAGTTTGTAGGTTCTTCCTGTCAATGTGAAAGATGCTAAAAGAGCCAAGGCTTAAGATGTCATGCTGTTTTTCCACCTTTTTTTCCCCCAAGTACTTTGTATTCTGAAACTCCTGCAATTTTGAGTTAGCCCAGAAAAGTAAAAACTCATCTGTCGTGTTGAACTGTTGATGCCTTTGAATCTCCAAACTCAGAACCTCACATTCTTCAATACCTACTGGTCCAACTTTCAAATATTCTGTCATCAAGGAGCAATCACTCTCAACTTGAGTGCAGCAGTGTCAAGCTCACACAATGGAATTACATATCCAAATAAATGCTGCTACCAACACTGTATCAATAAGTTAATGACCAAAAATATTAGGCCAAGCTTCCAGCCTCTGCCAAAAAGCTCAGTTGATTCCCAAGAACTCCAGCCCAGCTGAAGTTGGTGTCAAACCATGCTCGGATAGATACTGAGCATTGCAGAATTTACTCAAATGTCTCATCCCACTGTCACAAAGAATGGTGACAATGGTGTGTCCAGGGCCAAGCGACTGCGCCACTCTAACAGCACCAACACAGTTCATGGCTGACGAACTCCCAACAAATAGACCGTCGTTCTTCAGAAGAAACCTGCAAGAATATGTTCGACATGAATGAGAATGACAACGTAGCCCCCAGCAAACAACTATAGCTGTAGTTTGAGAGTAGCGGAAAAATATAGAAAGCACTAACCTTGACATCTCGACAGCTTCCTCATCTGTACCTCGAAATGCACCATCAAGTTTAGCCATCAGAAAGTTCTGTGTCAATCTATTGATCCCTATCCCTTCTGTTATGGTGTCAAATGGGTTCTTCAGCCTTTTGCCTTCAGCTTCCTCTTTGGTGTACATTACCCCTCTAGTTACCTTGTTGTACAAGCCAGAACCAGGAGGATCAATGAGGAAGCATTTGATATCCGGGTTCTTTTCCTGAAGGTAACAGTAAAAAGGATATTTAGGAATTTTGGTAACATGAAACAAATGGTGAGTTCCAGCAGCTGAAGGGAAATGCAGACTAGACCTGGAGAAATCTGGAAACACCAGCTAGAGTGCCACCAGTGCCGGCAGCTGCTACAAATGCATCTAAACTGCCACCACCACCACAAGTTTGCTCCCATATCTCAGGCCCAGTACCATCATAATGGGCCCTGAAATTTGCCAAATTTTCAAACTGATCAGCAAAGAAACCTCCGTTACCATAGTAAGGCAGAACTGAGTCTTGCTTCTGTCCATCAGATCCATAACCTTCAATTCGGTTGAGAAGGATTTCATCTTCAATCTTAGCTAATTTTCTGAGCTTTGAAGCCAATTCATTAGCTTCAACTGCCCGCCGCCTTGCAATGTTAACATAGTGGTCTCTGTGTGTAATTGAAACAGGCCTCACTCTTTCAACCGTAGCTCCCAGGGCTTCCAAAATTTGGGACTGACAACACCGAAGAAAGGATCGATTTTTAGGCTCATTGAGATTGTAATAATAGCGCAACAGCTCCTCAAAAAAGGGACATCAAGGCCTCCCAAGCACCATTCTAGGGGGGAAAAGATTTCTCCAGCATTGCATAACACAGTGTACTAGCCATAACCTAAGAATTGGTGGAAGGACTAGACATGGTTTCAAGTACAGACATATATGTGACAAAGAAAGCAACAGCAGTCTTGGAGTACCTAACAAAACCAAAAGAAGCTGAAATCTTCTTGTAAATACATACCTTCTCGATAGCAGCATCATCTGGGATAACCACATGGCATTTGCAACCGAAGGCAGGAGCAACGGTAGCAAGGCTAATAGCAGTACTTCCAGCACTTCCCTCAGTCACAACTCCACCTAGAGTTAACTTCCCAGATTCCAGTGCCTGTTAAAAACCCATTAAAGAAGCTGAGTGCCTGGATGAACATACCACTAAGAACAATTCCCATAAATAGCAACTGAATTGAGTACATCTATTTTGGTGTATTGAATCCTGAAACAAGCAATTGCCTAAGAGATACTAGCTACATACCAATCACTGCCTAGTGCCTACAAAGTCTTATCAGTTCAGAAATGGATCCTTTTAGCTTCAAAATTACCTCTTGAATGATTTTCACGGCAACTCTATCCTTCACGCTTCCACCCGGGTTCAGGAACTCACACTTCCCTAAAATCTGAGAGAAAGAACGAGAGAAACAGAATCGAAATCAAGAACAGAAAATAAAGCCTACATATATCTTCGAATGATCGCTTGGGGAAGAAGGCCAATTAATTTACTTCGCAGCCTGTTGCATCAGACAAGCTGTTGATTCTTATCAACGGAGTGTTCCCAATTGCATCGACGAGTCCACTTCTCCCCCTCTGCTTCTTCTTCTTCTTCTTCTTACTCACACAAGGAGTCGAATAACGAGCTCCGCTGGTGGACCAGTAGCTGCAGAGGTAGTAAGAGAAGACGACCGTCGAAAGCGAGACCGCAGCCACAATTGCAGCTGTGGGTAGAGCTCCAGCAGCCATTGATGGCGGCGGTCGGCCTTCGGTGGTTGCTCGGAGAGTCGAGGAGCCGACGGAAACGGGCAGCCAGATTTTCAGGCTTTAATTTTCTTAAAGTCGGTAGCACGACATTCGTATTGGGCCGGGAACACGAGCCCACGGCCCAAGATGATACCAATACACGAGCCCACGGCCCAACCCTTCAAACAAAAGAAGACAAGTGATAGTGTAGTGACGCGGATCGCCATTCTCAACCGTCGATGCTCACTCACAATCAACGGTCCCGATCGATCATCTCCCCAGTCCACAGCAGCTATATAAAACCTCTAAACATCTTCTTCTTCCCTCGCAAATTCAGCAGATCCAAAATTCAAAAACCACATTTTCGATCCAAATCTTCCCGCTTCTCCATTTGCAGATTCCAATTCGAAGCAAAGAAATGTCGGGCCGCGGCAAAGGAGGCAAGGGGCTGGGGAAGGGAGGAGCTAAGCGGCACAGGAAGGTCCTCCGCGACAACATCCAGGGGATCACCAAGCCGGCCATCCGCCGTCTGGCTCGTCGAGGCGGCGTCAAGCGCATCAGCGGCCTCATCTACGAGGAGACGCGCGGCGTTCTCAAGATCTTCCTGGAGAACGTGATCCGCGACGCCGTCACCTACACGGAGCACGCTCGCCGGAAGACCGTCACCGCCATGGACGTCGTCTACGCGCTCAAGAGGCAGGGCCGGACCTTGTACGGCTTCGGCGGCTGAGCTGTTTCGGGATTTTGCAACTTCTCTAATCCTTTGTGTGTCCTGTTTTGTTCATATTCCGAGGTTCTAGGTTTCCGATTTAGGGTTTCGGTGGATGCCTGTTATTTTGTAACAGCAAGCTTTGTCTAATGAAAAGAAGGATTTCCTACGATTTGTGCCCCATTTGTTGAGTTTGCAAAATAGCTCGAGTGGTCGTTCTTAGGGAGAATTTTTTTTACAGGGGATTTTGATATTGGAGGACGATACACAAATTATCACACAATAACATTTACATCAGCATACAAATTATACAACCAAACCAAACACTACTAGTTCGGATCAGAGCCCTCATTTGTTTGCTTCAGTTGGTTGACCCAGAACGAGATCACACGCAGTGATCGAACCCGATTGATCGACATCAAGGCCCTCGAACTCTTCCGTCACCACCATGATATCATCCTGTGTGATCTTCCCCATCTCTTTCAGCTTGTACAGCACAAACTCCGCACACCTGTCAATAAAAACCACACAACGAGAAAGAGTTCGCCATTAGACGAACAGAAAGCTAACGAGCCGGAGACGAGAGAAGCAGCAGACACTTACCCAACATGGCCATCACTGTCGATATCGGCAGCCTCCAAGTCCACGGCGGTCATCTTTCTAGCGAGAACCCAGTTCACCAACTCCCTCTGCCTGCTCTCGGTGAACACCTCCGCCACGTAGAAAAACAGCTGAGCCAACCCAAGGGTGCTCAGAATTATCCAAACCACGGCAAAGAGGCGCCCGCCACTCGTGGAGAAGCTCTTGTCACCGTACCCCAATGTGGTCACGGTGGAGCAGACGCAGTAGAAGGAATCGACGAGTCCCAGATTCTCGACTCGATGGAGGAAGATGGTTCCAACCGCCATGAGGACTCCGATGATTCCTGCAGCCAACAGGCACTTGTACTTGGCCTTCTTGGTCCCGGCTTCTTTACGGACTTCAGATGGACCGATTGAGTCTCGGTGCATCGCCTTCAGTAGCAGGATCTCTTGCTTCTCCGCCAAGTAATCGGCTGCCTTGCTCATTATCAAGGCAACAAGAGCCATCCCGGTGAAGACAAACAGACAGGCGAGCAGCTTTGCGGCGGAACTATTTGGGACCAGGTCTCCATATCCCACGGTGGTCATGGTGACGACGCAGAAGTATAGGGCGTCCAGAAGATTGTTCGTCTTCTTCCCTATGAAGTCATCTTTCACAAAGTAGAAGGATAGAGTGCCGAGGCCCAGGTAGATAGCCAAGTAAACAGCTACTTGCTTGATGCTAGGGTGAAGCTTCCCGAAGATGGACTCTGCTAATGGGACCGGATCACTGTCCTTTCCAGCTGGAGCTGGTGGAGCCAAACTCGCTTGAGGAGCGCTCCTAGCACGTCTCAGTACTCTTCTCTTTTGAGCAGTTGCGACTGAGCTCATTCGAGGGTTGGGAATGGATGACCCTGAAAGCAAGGGCTCCCTTGGACTATCACAGGCCATTATGACAATAGACAGGAATACGATCTGAATCCTACGAGATCTGCTCATCGAAAAATATGACTAGGTTTTAGTTATGTACCATGGAAGTCAATATGCTATGGAACCCCAGAGTAATAGACAGAAAGTTAAGCATCTAAGGACTAAGATTACATAGCAGAATGTAAACGACATGGAGTTTTTTTTAAGCAAATCATTGTTACTTTCGTCTGTTGCTTACAATGACACCACAATGAAGAGGGAAAAACTTCACCGGTCAGTTCTGAACATCTTTCTTTGGAATAGTCATCATATGTTCGATTTCGAATAACAAAAGCAAGCAAGTAAAACAGCAGACACATAGCAGATAAGTGAGTCAAGCCAGTAAGCTGAACATGAGCAAAATTCTAAATGGTGACCTGGGTTGTGACGGAATTTAGCTACCATAACCATTTGGTCAACAAGGCAATAACAAGCAGAGGAGGAATATCAAAATCTAAAAACATCATGAATATCCCAAATCAGAAATAGAGGTTTGAAAACCCTAAAGGCAACAGTAAAAACAAAGAATTCAAAACTTACCCAAGTATGGAAAGCCTCAATAAGAAAACCCAGCTGAGTGTTCTACACTTCTACTGCTCCACTAGGCCTATTAACTTGCATGGATGGAACGTTTGCTTACAATTCAAAGCGTACCCAGGACCCAATTTACAGAAAACAATCACCCGCGAAAATTCCAAGCAAATTCCGGCTCAGTTCCTATCTGAAGCGCATCAGAAATAATGCACAGTACCGGCGGTTTGAGTCTCTTTTACCGGCCGAAAAGGGTCAACATCTACTCAACTAAGCATCACAGAAATTCCCACACCGGAAAACTTCCACTTTCCCCAGATAACTCTAAATTGGAGGAAAGAAAACCACGAGGAACAGAGAAGGGAGAAAAGGTGGAGGCAGAGAGATTTGCCAGTACCGGAAACCGAAGAGGCGCCATTAGCAGCTGAATTCTGTTGGGTCTCCTCCAAAAATGCTATCCGGAACTTCCCGGAAGTGTAATTGTCTTGGTCGGCCGGAGTATTGCTGCCTCAGCCGCCGAGTTTCAGCCTGCTTTTCTTTTGGCTTTCCCCAGTTACAGGGGGGACGAAAGAAAGCTCAACATCCTGGGCGTAGATCTTTATTCTTGTCCCCATCGTCCAGTTGAGGGTTAATTGCACCGGGTGCCACTTAACTCTTATAATTGTTGCACGTTAACCACTTAACGTAATTTCGTTGCAACTAAACCATGTAAGTCGTATTATGGGTGCACTGTCACCACTTCCGTCATTAGACGTAACGGCAGGTACCGATACTGTAATTTGCCATGCCACGCAAGCGTACATGTCAGCATATTTGCTGAGTCATTTGCGGGCCTCACCAAAACCCTGGGCCCACCTATTTTGGACGTTCCTCCTGCTTTATCTTCTTCAAAACTAACCCAAAAACAGATTCTCACTTCTTCCCAAAAACATAGAAACTTTTCCTACTCGTTCTCTCTTCTTCCCCGAAACATCAATCTCTGTTCTTCCCCTAAATAGTCCTTCCCCAAACCTACATTCCCTCTTCCATTGGAACCATTAATCTGCTCCTGGGTTTCAATTGCAGCTGCCCTGTACGCGGAGATTCTCTTATAATTAGAACAATAGTGATATAACCAACCTGGTAAAACAATTATTTGGTTTTTAAAACCTTGGACAAGCTGGCTATGGAACCCAACAATAATAAACACAGAGTTCTTATGAAGAACAGAGCATCCCCTCATCTTCTAAAGAATCCATAACCGACTCACCTACTCTGATACATGAACAACCTATATTCGTCAGATGCTCGTTTCAAATCCCTCGCAACATCACGAAAAGTAAACAGAATATAGAATCAGAGGACGAATGAAAAAATCGAAGTGGCAGGGGCTGGAGTCAACGCTGAATCGGAAACAAAAGCCAAACACTAAGAGGCGAGGTCCACTGAAGACGGCTCTCGGGAAGAGCTGAAGGTTACTTAGCCCGCTGGAATTTTGAGCATCCGGATTTCATTCACCATCGTCGGAATCAATGGTGCGGTTATTCTGTCGCGTCTCTTTTCTCTTGTCGTTCCAATTTTCCGTCCGTGAATGGTGCGATTATTCTCACAATCTCCTTGATGAACTGGTTCGCTTTATGCATCACGATCGCCTTTGCTAATTCGGGTTTTGTCGAAAATTTTGCAGAGAAGAAAGTGCAGGAATACGAGAAGTTGCGGGTTAAACTTGCTCAAATATTTCGTCCAAAATAGGTGGGCCCAGGGTTTTAGTGAGGCCCGCAAATGACTCAGCAAATATGCTGACATGTACGCTTGCGTGGCATGGCAAATTACCGTATCAATACCTGCTGTTAAGTCTAATGACGGAAGTGGTGACGATGCACTCATAATACGACTTACATGGTTTAGTTGCAACGAAATTACGTTAAGTGGTTAACGTGCAACAATTACAAGAGTTAAGTGGCACCCGGTGCAATTAACCCTCCAGTTGAGGTTCCTGTTAGTGGTTCAGGGAGCTTTAATGGCGTCTGCTATAATTGATCAGATAGTTATCGCTTTTCGCTAATGACATAAATTTTGTCAATTCTCAACAAGCCCAGTTACCGTCTTCAGGCCCAGCCATGCGTTGATTTTTTTACGAACAGGCCCAGCTAATATTTAAATCTGTAAATTCGTAATGCTCTAACACTTTCACTCGTCTTCCGCTCCATTCCACAATCGCGCATCTCGCGGCAGCAGGATCAAATTATGGAGGGAAATCAATCGAGCTCGAGACGGAGAATGGAGTTGCTCGGAAAAATCAGAGGTCCGTGAAGCGATCAGACCGCACTTCTTCCAGTAACGATGCGAGTGTTTGAGATCGATGAAGAGTTCTTGGCGCTGTTTTTTTTTTCTTTTTCTGGTTTTGCAGACTTCACTAGATCGCTGGTGAAAGCTCTCAGCGAGGGACGATCGCCTGGGATTTTCATCGACAAATTCAGTAACTACTGCACGAATCCTCATGGAAATTGGTCAGTCTCTCGCTTTCGAATTGCCGATTCCGCTAGTTTTGCTTATTCCATGAGAAAGTGAGAACTGGTTTTCTGCATTTTTGAGTGATGTGTTTGTGCTTCTTGGATTAGCTGTTGCGGCTCTGATTTGCCTGAGGGGCAGGAAATCTTGACGATCCAAAGAGAATGCAGCGCTCGCAGGATAGGTGAGACGAAGGTGAACACTAGAAATGCGAATTGTTTGAGAATTACGGGTGTAAACTAGATATAATTCGTTGTTAATTTTCCTTTCGGGATAGCCATGGAATGTACTTTACCATGTTGCTATGGAATTGCAGATGTCCTGTTGAGAGTGTTGGTTATTGTTCAGACGCTACTTCAAGAGGATAGGCATGGGTCTAAAAGAGATATATACTACATGCACCCTTCAGTATTTTCAGGTGAACCTGCATGATCTTCTCAGAGTTTTTTCGTTCCTGTAATTACTTTGGTCTGCTGCTGCTGCTGCTATGCGCTTGATCATGTAGTCAGTGTTTGGAAAATGTCATGATAGATGTCGAGGAAGCTTCACCTCCAGCTTTTGGTTATGGCTTAGTTTTTCTATCCATTCTCCCCCTTTTAGAATGTTCAGCTTGTTTTGAAATGCAGAACAATCCGTAGTTGATCGGGCAATCAATGACATATGCATCATTCTGCAGTGCAGTCGTCACAATCTGAACGTGGTATGACATTTTGAGAGAGCTATATGGCATGTGATATTTACCCTTTGCATCTCAGTTCTTCTGATTGTTCCAACTCCATTCTGCAGGTGTCTGTTGGAAATGGGTAGGTACCTGCCATCATGCACTACTTGGAAAACGTAGTGAGATTTGCTTTGTCATTCAAGTTTTCATTCACCTGTATTCTTATGCATGTGTGCTGTTCTCCTTCTTAGGTTGGTTATGGGCTGGTTACGATTTGTAGAAGCTGGAAGGAAGTTTGACTGCATAAATTCTCCTAGCAGTGTAAGAATGGGATGTACTTTAAGAAGTCTTCCATGCCTCTTTTTAATTTTCCAGCTCACACCATAATACATTCTTGGTTTGCAGACCTTTCCTGTTCCAGTATACGTGGAGAAAGTCAGAAGTATCTGCACTATCAATTTATATGCAACCATTGTGTTCCAAAAGGCAGTCCCATGTGGATTGTTGTTTATCTGTTCTCACTCTTTACAGTTTTCTTGTTAACAATCCTGAGTTAAGGTTGCGAAGTTAACATTCCAAAGGGTGACCTGATTTGTATAATTCAAAGATATCTATGCTTAAAACCATTATTTTCCCCTTCAAATGCTTGAAAGTTCTAATACTTTATCCATGTAATTCCTTAATAATATTGGCTATCATTCTCGCAAACAGATATCGTTAGTGTTGCTAAGTACATATTGATTGTGGAGAAGGAATCAGGTAAATCTCACTCATTCGCAATGCTCTTGGGGAAAGAAAAGGAAAGAAAGAATCATTGTTCTAATCCAGTTCTCTCTTGGAACATAACACCTTTGAACTCATTGTCTTGCAGTCTTCCAGCGTTTGGCCAACGACCACTTCTGTGACACGAACCGCTGTATTGTCATCACAGTAAGCTCAAGTCCATCCACTTCTCTCTTTAAAGCTCTGTCTCATCACTTCAGATGTTAAGATTGATGGGTTTTTTTTACTTCTCTACTTTGCAGGGAAGAGGCTACCCAGATATTCCCACAAGAAGGTTGAATTACTATCTATTGTTTTCTAACTGATTTTCCAATGAAAAGCTGTTCACTCTGCAAACATCTGCTGCATAGCAGGTTCTTGCGACTCCTCATTGAGAAGCTGCGGCTGCCTGTGTATTGCTTGGTAGATTGTGATCCATATGGCTTTGATATCCTTACTACCTATCGTTTTGGTTCTATGGTGAGCGATTTCACACTCCGGCGACCAACTTTCCATCTTTCTCCACAATCTTCGCCTGTTTGCATAACCCATTCTTTTTGCTTGTACTGGAAGCAAATGGCCTACGATGCAAAATTTCTGCGCCTCACCGGAATACACTGGCTTGGCGCTTTCCCCTCTGACGTTGAGAAATATAGCATTCCCCAACAGTGTCTCCTTCCATTGACAGCAGAAGGTATAGTTTCTCTACAACAAAACTTCTTAAAGTTTCCTATCGCCCATTTCCATGTTCTTTCTGAATCCCTTCCCATTTTGGTTGCTAGACAAAAGAAGAACCGAAAAGATGTTAAACAGATGCTACCTGGAGAAGCAAGTCCCAGAGTGGAGGTAAGAAGCGTCCGAATTCTGACATTTTGCCCTTCATAATATCGCCTGCACCATTAAGCTGTGTAATGGTGCAAATGGTTACTGTGTTTCCTCCTTGAAAAAGATGGGAACTGGAGCTGATGCTGCAGCGGGGAGTGAAGTTCGAGATCGAAGCGCTGGCTGTTCATTCTCTTTCCTTTCTGTCGCAGCAATACTTGCCGTCCAAGATTCATGGTGGGTTGCATCTGTGATCCCACCTCTGAGAATTTGGTAATATCTCTCTGTCCTTCGGCTCAGTATCTTCAGTAGCCACGATCATTTTCTTCGACACATCATCTTTTGTCTCATATCTTCTCAAATGACCCGCTCATTTTGGATGATATCAATTGCAGAGGTGTAAACCTTTAAATGCATCGATCCAAAAGAAAACTGTGTACTTATGAGAAGGCCTCTGGTCAGAAAATGAACTTGTCAAAGTCAGTAATCGTCTTTAGTGGCAACATCCTCCTGGCGCCTGCTTTGCAATCTACTTTTATGTTTTTTCTAGGCGTCAGTTTCATGGATGACTTGGGGCGTTATTTGGGCTTGCCGTTTGTCTTCGGTCGGAGGCGCACCACGGTCTTCCAAACTTTGATAGAGTGCGTGGTTATGGGTTGGTTCGTTTTGATGATGTGGCGGGTTTCACCAACGTGATTGGTCGAGTATATAAACTTTTTTGGGTTAAAATAGTATGATTAGACAATTTTGTTACCCACGTCAGCATCAAACTAATGTTATAATGAAGGCTGACAGAGACTAAGAAAAAATGATAAAAATGAAATATTAAATTAATTTTGTAATGATCACAAATGTAATGAAATGTTTTTAGTGACCAAAATGTGAAACATTTTAGTAGTGAGTGATCAATCTTGCAATATACCTCTTAGTAATTTTTTTTTGGTGGGAAAATAATTTACCCTTCAAGATAAACTGATAAAGAAAAGGCCAAATACACTTGCATAACCAAAACTTTGATGGTTTTGCCAAATATAGCCAATTTTGGCGAAATACAAAAAATAGCCAATTCCGTCCAATTGTTTGACGGTGTTAATTAACGTGCTCACTGGACTAACAGCAGTGGTTGACGTGGCATATTTTATTAAAAAATAATGTTAGATGGAAAATAATTAAAATTTTATACTTATATTTTTAATCAAATTAAATTAAAAAAAAACAAAAATAAATCTCTTCTCCCCACCACCACCTGTTCACCTTCATCAATACTTCCTACCAGAAGCTTCCTCTTCTCCAATCTCCACCATGCGAGCTCTCAATCCATCTGCCCCATTCACCACCTTCCTCCCGTCAAGCCTTAGCAGAGGTTCCAAGACCCAATCCCTGCTCTGCCTCTCCAAATCCAAATCCACCATCCACTTCGATTTCCTCTCCAGTTCCTCCGCCGCCCCATTCAAATCCCTAGCTCCACTTAGATACTCAGTTGCTCCGCCGTCCCATTCAAGACCCAATCCCTGCTTCTCCCCTACCCTCGCTGAAATCGCCGGCCTCGTAGGCGACGATTTCGTGCCACCAAATCCCCAATCCCCGCCGCCACCAAACTTCCACAAATCCACGCCGCCGTCACCTCTCCGCACATCACATCCTCATCTCTTCTCCTAGGCAGCAGCCATGGCCGTGAAATCCAACGATGGCGGCGGGCCAGCAGCTCCGTCGCCCGCCTTTCGTGGATACCGTCACCGAAATCATGAGGCGACGGAGCTTCTTGCAGTACTCGCACCGCAGCCTACTCCTCGACGGCGGCGGCGGCGTTCTGTTCGCGATCTGTGCGGTGCTGGAGGAGGAGTTCACGCTCTCGTCAGCGGCCGCCGGAGGATGGGTTTGGCCGTGGGTGGGTGGGTTGGGGTCGAACTCGAACTCGAACCCGAAGAGCTTGAGCTTGTTGGTGTCGCCGCCGGAGGAGGAAGATTCGGCGGAGGTGTTACTCGACGAGATGTTCGAGATGCTCGGTGGGTTGATCCAGCGAGCTTCTTTGCTTGTCTCTGGCGATTCCCAGGTGGAGAAATCGGCCGGATTCGACGACCCAGGTGCCAAAATTGCCAAGGAAACTGGGTTTCAGATTTCTCGTCTTGTGGGAAGCTTGGGTTTCAGATTTCATTTTTTATGGGGGTCGAAAATTTCGTGTAAAGTTTGATGCATGCCAACTGTTTGTGTTTTTGCCTCACTGATTTGCCGGTGAAGTGAATTCCAACGAGAAACTAAGCCTGCTGAAGGTGGCAGCAATGATAGAGAACTCTGCAAAATCAGGAGCTGAAACAATCGATCTTGGCAGCGGTGGCGAGGACTGACCGGCGGCAGCTGCTGGTTTTGATGGAGAAGAAGAGGGGTTGCTGGAGGAGAAAGAAGAGGGTTCGAAGAGATTAGGTCAATAGGGATAGGGCGAATTTTTTATTTTTTTTTATTTTATTTTTGTAAATGACGTGTCGTGTGAGTGCTGAGTTGGAAATGAAATGGAGGGTGAGTTGGCAGCCAAGTCAGCGTTCCGTTAATTTAACTAACGGTGTCACTGACGCCGTTAAATTATGTAACGGAAATGGCTATTATTGTCATCAAACTTTCAAAAATCTGGCTATTATTGGTATTTCTCCAAAAGTGGCTATATTTGGCAAAACCGTCAAAGTTTTGGCTATACAAGTGTATTTGGCCTAAAGAAAAACTAAAAGTGAAACGGAAATATAAACGTTTCAAGGAGCGCGAGTGGAAACTAGGTTTCGGCGAGCGACTGTCGAGTTGTTGAGCAAAATGGCGAGAAAAGGTCTCCCGGCGGACATGATAGCGGCCACGCTCTGCCGTCTGCCGGCGAAATCACTGCTCCGCCTCCGCTGCCTCTCCAAGTCATGGTGCTCCGAAATAGACAGTCCCTCTTTCGCCCAACTCCACCTCCAAAACTCCACGGCAACCGCCTCCAACCTCAGCCTCGTCCTCCGACACTCTTTTCTCTCCTCCGTGGACCTCGAACGCCTCGACGCCGCCGTCGTGAAGCTGGACCACCCGCTCGAAGCTCACACGTTCGGAACCGAGATCCTCGGCTGCTGCAACGGACTGCTCGCGCTCCGCAATTCGGACGAGGAAATCGCATTCTGGAACCCTACCACTCGCGAGCACCGGATGCTCCCCAAGGCGGAGATCGAGCCTCCTCCGGGGGATTCCAGGTGCGCGTTCGTCGTCTATGGCTTCGGGTACGACTCTGTTCACGACGACTACAAGTTAGTCAGGCTGGCTCAGTTTTACCGAGATGGTGTTTCCTCTTCGGAGGCGAAGGTTTACAGCTTTAGGGCAAATGCATGGAGGGGAATTGGGGATTTTCCTTATTACCTTAGATACCAGAGGTGCCATGGAGTTCTCGTAAACAATGCTCTGCATTGGGTGGTTGGCAGAGATGAATCTAGAGGTGGGAGGTTGATAGTTGCACTGGATTTGGGAACTCAGGAATATCGACTGGTTGAGCAGCCCGATTATGGGGAGAGGAAATTTCACTTGAATGTGAAGGAGCTGGGAGGCTGCCTCGTTATCGTGGCGAATTACCATCCGGAGTGGGTTGATCTGTGGGTCATGAAGGAATACGGGGTGAAAGAGTCGTGGACTGAACTTGTGACGTTGAGACAGCCAGCTAAACCGTATACTTTCGAGTTCGTGCTCCCTGTTGCGTATGTGGGTGATGGCTCCAAGGTTTTGCTTGTTCAGGATAATAACAAGTTGATTTGCTATGATTTGGGAAGTGAGGAGGTTGATGAGGTCAGAGTTGAAGGTCTGTCGAAGTATTTTGAAGTGACATTGCTGGCGGGTAGCCTCGTGAAGCTTAACAGCGGCTGTGAGGGTGTGGCAAATGCAGTAAACTTGATCGGAGCCGGTGCTGATGAGAATCAGAGCTAGAAGAAGAAGAACAACAATGGTGGGGAGAACCAAGGAGAGAGGTACGAGTTTCAACTTTCAATACCTTCTCTCTGATAAAGTGATTAACAGCCTAATTTGACTGAACAGAAGATCGTCCTGGAATTTATTCTTCATTCTAGCTTAGGGAGTTAGTATGCTGTCATGTGAGCAATGTGGCCATGAAAAGTGGTGGAGACTTGTATGTTAGTTTAAGTAATTTAGCCTTGTGATTTAGGTCTTTAGGAATACTAGACTGTATAACTGCAAACTTGATGTTAACCTGTAGGTATGCCCTTATGCAATAGAAATATCCTTCACAGAAAGATGAATAACAAAGCAGTATGTCTTGGTTTCTAACGGAGCATCGAGTTCTTGGCTTGCTCTTGTCTCTGCAGACAAAAGGGGCCTTTAAGTGGCATATTAGAATAGTTTAGTGCTAGTTCTACATTAACTAATGGAGCATCGAGTTCTTGTTTTGCTTTCCAGAGTAGGAACCCTCACTAATGAATGAAAATACTGGTAAATGGTTTTCTGTTTCAGGCTGTGGGAGGAGACACAAGAGACATGAGCGACGCCGATGATGGCGATGTCCTCTTTTTACTAACTAAGAGTAGAATAGCAGAGTCGTAGTTTAAGCAAGTATGACCTAGTAATGGTAGTGTGCATAAGTATGATCTTGTAATGACTAATGATGCACTTGGCTCTATCCTTCTTGCTTGAGTAACCCTTTGGCACCTGTGTCCAATTGTGGCGGATAGGAACAATGGTCAAGTTGTTAGATATCGAGTATCGATATGTTTTGTTGTCATAGAGCGTGTTGGCTTAGGACGCGATAGATATCGGATATCGATATGTTTTGTTGCCACAGGGCGTGTTGGCCGACGACGTGATGAACTTTCACCCGACTGCCTGTAGTAGCAGTAATGGTTTTGTACGTAGTCGTCTACTTTTGTCATTCTTCTCTAGATGATGAATCCTTTGAGAAAGTTATGATCGTCGATCGATGTGTTGTTTAGAAATGAAGATATGACCTTTTTCCCGTTACAAATTGGGAAGAGATTTCAAATGAGCTTTGAATTGATGATAATAAAGATTGGTCATTTATAAAGGTTATTTGCTATATGAAAAGATGAATAAATGGCTATAGAATTACAGTTATGTGTATACAAAAGACAAAATACTTGTAAGAAATAGTTATGTGCTATATAAAATAATGATAATAAATGATATATAGAAGCTATTACACAACATAAATCAAGTAACGTTCATAAAGTAACGACTACTTTTTCTGAAGGAAAATATTAAAAAAAAAGTTACGTCGACAATTTTGTTTAGGAAATAATGACAAACCATTAATATGTTAAACGTGAAAAAAATATAAATTAACATGCATATAAGTACATGTTTATAATGAGGTTATCAATTGAGAGAAGGAATGTGGTGTATGGAATTAGAAAAACAATTGCTAATTTTAAATAACAAAGTGATGATTCTGTGATTTTCAAAACTTATGCGGGCATATTGTTATTCGGCAAAAGCTTAGTGACCGTTTCTCCCAATTAGCCACTTCAAAAGCTCGAGACTGCTCGAGTGAAGATCTCCGTCTGCCACCAAAGAACTCGAAAAGAAGTTTCGGGAAAAGCACAGCCGTCAGTTGCAGCAAAAATGCCGAAAAACGGAAGTCTTCCCGCCGACCTAATAGCGGCCACGCTCTGCCGCCTGCCGGCGAAGTCGCTGCTTCGATTCCGCTGCCTATCCAAGTCATGGTGCTCCGAAATCGACAGTCCCGCTTTCGCCCAACTCCATCTCCGCCACTCCGTCAAAACCCCTTCCAATCTCAGTCTCATCCTCAGAGACGGCTCTCTCCGTTCTCTGGATTTCCAGAGTTTGGACGGCCTCGTGAAGCTGAATCACCCTCTGGATACTCCGTTCTTCGGAACAGAGATCCTCGGCTGCTGCAATGGTTTGCTCGCGCTCTACAATTCCGAAGAGGAAATCGTGATCTGGAACCCTATCACCCGTGAGCATCGGAGGCTTCCTGAGACGGAGCTCGAGTACCCTCCGGAGAACATGTTCTTCGATTTTATCGTCTATGGTTTCGGGTATGACTCTGTTCACGACGATTACAAGTTGGTTAGGTTGGTCCAATTTCCCGGCTTTCGTAATCGTCCTTGCTTCTCCGTGGCTAAGGTTTACAGTCTTAGGGAAAATTCGTGGCGGCGGATTAGGGATTTCCCTTACGAAATTGTGTTCAAGAGGTGCCATGGGGTTCATGTGAATAATGCGCTGCATTGGGTGGTTTATAGGAGCGGTGGATCTGAAGGTGAGAAATCTATCGTTGCGTTGGATCTCTGTAGTGAAGAGTGTCGAGTGATTGAACAGCCCAATTATGGGGGGAGGAAATTTCACCTGAATGTGGGAGAACTTGGAGGTTGCCTCGCTGTGACTGCTAATTACTATCTCAAGAGAGTTGATGTGTGGGTGATGAAGGAATACGGGGTGAAAGAGTCGTGGGGTAAACTTCTGACGGTGAGACAGCAAGTGAAAAGGCCTACTTTTGAATTCGTGCTCCCTGTTGCCTATGTGGGCAATGGCTCCATGGTTTTGCTTGTTCAGGATAGTAACAAGTTTGTTTGCTATGATTTGATAAGTAAGAAGGTGGATGAGGTCGGAGTTAGCGGTCTGTCAGATTATTTTGAAGTAGTAGTCCTGGCGGGGAGTCTTGTGAAGCTTAACAACGGTAATGAGGCTGCGTCAAATGAAGCAAACTTGGTTGCAAATGCAGTCAACTTGGTGGATATTGGTGGTGATGAGGTGGACTGGGTTGATTTTGGTGATGATGAGATCCTACTCTAGAAGAGGAATGGTGGAAAGAACTAAGTAGAGGTAAAGGTTTCAATGCCTTTTTCTGGTAAAAGGATTCATGGCCTAATTTGATTGAACCAAAGATCTTCCTCCTCATTCCAGCTTGTGAAGTTTGTATGGTGTCATGTCTCTAGCTTGTTTTGGTCTTCTATGGATGTCATGTGGATAAGCTTCTCTAGTGCTTTCTATTCTAGTTGCAGTAATATAGCCCTGGAATAGAAGGAAGTGTATTTCCTGGGTACCGAAGAGCACAGAGTGCTCCCTTTTGTTGTCATTACTTTTTTTTCCTTTTAGGCTACTAGAGAGTATGGCTGCAGTCTTCATGATAACCTTTAGATGTGCTGTAGAAATATCCTACATCGAAAATGGGGGGGGTAAAATAATAGCAGCAGGGTTATTATTATCGGTTGTGCTTCCGTCCACAAACAGGTTAATCACTGCTGATGGTAGTTAAGCAGCAACGACAGAGCTCTTTCATTAGCAACAATATCCAGTTGTGGCCTTAAAGTGAGTGATTGTCTATGTCAGTTTCAGGAATTTAACCGTGTGCTACTACAGAGAACAAAGTCGCTTCCTACCAAAAAAAAAAAAAATAAAGAGAACAAAGTCGCACCAATTGTTGTCATCATGACCAACATGACATTAGTTCTTGCTTTTAGTTACTAGAGTTGATGAATATGACTGCCTACTTCATGAAAATCTCTGGATGTGCTGTTGAAATATGTTTGTATAGAAAGATAGGAAAGAATTACAAGCACGAGATTCTGATGGAACATGGAGTTGGTGTCATTGATTCTGTCTGCAAATAAGAGGGCCTTTCAGTGGCATATTAGAGCAGTTCACTGCTGACACAAGTTTTAGTTTGGCTAACCCTGATCTAGTCATCTGCAATGAATGCTGAATACAAATGGACTTGTGCGTTCGTTCGGATTGCAGTATCGAAACTCAGAAACCCTCTAATGCTTGTAAGCATACTGGAAAATCGCAATGTGTTCATGATTTTCTCTGTGACCCGTCTCTTTTATTTACTTGTGATTTTCTGTTTCAGGTTGTCGGCGGAGTCACAACCTGCAGCGACAGACGGTCGGCTTTGCACACCGTAAATACCCTGTGAACTCATGATGAGAGCAGTCTCGTGTTTTTTCTTGCTTGTGTTTCAAGTTAGGTCGAATGGTGGAGAAGTCTTTTGTGCCAGTAAAGCAATAATTACACCAACAAGCACACATCTTTTTTGGCCTTTAATGCTGTATTCTTCATCTTATTTCTTCTGCCCTCGGTGCTGTCAGTTGGTTGGTTGGTTAATGGTTATACTTGTTGAATCGCCAACTTGCTTCATGAAAAGTACGTTCTACTGCATGCCTTTCGACTGATGGAAATTCGACACCTGTGAGTGAACTGATCTGATATGTAGTTATATATGTTATATATAACTAAGTAAATTAGTATTATTCTTATGTTTGTGGTGTATACTGAAAGGATGATGCAACTAGCGAGCTTGGAAAATGAAACGTGGGACTGCAACTACTACAAGGATTCCCTGTTGCCTCAGTTAACCAATTCAAATCACATATATGGCCCGGTTGATAGCCCTCGTCTGGAAGGTATGTCCCGTGTATCTGTGTACGTTACGGAATGAGAGTGGGTGTCGTTGAGACTAATGCTTTGGTTCAGATTTGGTGCGTTAATTAATTAGTTTCTTGGCATGCAATTAATGAGAAAGCTCAGGCCACGATGTAAGCCCTCTCCGATCTTCATGGTTCATTACAGATATGTCTTTGTGGAGATACAGATTTCGTGCTCTGTGATCCAACTTAATTATTTAGGTCATAGTCGTTTGTTCATAATATTACTACGGATGGCAATTGGATAAGACACTATTTCCCGGCGAGGACAACTCTGGTGTTTGATTTCAATAAATGCACCTTGACTTCTTGAACAACTGCACCTTGACTTCTTGAACAACGATTAATAACACGGTTCATACCTCTCTGAACAATGTTTGAACGATGGTGTTTGATGATTTTGATGATTGAGAAAACTAAGTTAAATCACTCTACTCCTATGAGGTTCAGGGAGAGCTCCAGAAAATAAAAGCTATAGTTATGGCTACAATGGATAGAAAGGATAAAGTTTGACATGTGTTATCAAATGGTTGGTTGTGGAACTCGTTTACAATCTTAGTTTCTCCTATTTATAGCCACTAGGTGTAACTGTCTTGGTAGCTGCTAGTTGGCATCTTGCTCCAAACCGTCACGGGGTCCCTTGTCGCTGCCTTGGTGACTAGTTGGTAATCGTCGCCATGGGGGCCCTTGTTCCGCATTGTGGCTGGTGGTTACTTGATGGTCTTGATGCCGAACCGGGTTGGTGTTGAGCCTTGTCGCACTGTTATGACTGGATAAGGTTGAGCCTCATTGCCTTAGCCTCCATAATGAAGTCTTGATCACATCCTCGACAACCCTGACGACTCCACGTTCCTCATCTTGCTAGCTACCTCGATTAACCGTCTTGATAGCTAGGCCACATCCACCTAGATAGGATGAGAACTTGGCCCTTTACTCCCAAAGTCTCCACACTTAGTCTTAGAGAGACGGTCATGGCACCAGCCAGCCTTGTCGGCTTGGTCTCCATACTTAGCTTCTGCAATCTTATCAAGTTCAAGTTCGTACATTGCATCCTGCCGGCTTGGTACCCCCGTTGGGGGGCCACCAAGCCCATTTTGGGACATAGTCTCCATATAGCCCCCCTCCCCCAAGAGGTTCTACATCATGTTCATGATGACTTGGTACCCAGCATACTTAGTTTTTTTGGGAGGTTTGGTAACCTGATATCAAGTCTGTCTTGTCGGCTTGATACCCTCTAGAGGTCTTGGTACCAAGTCCGCCTTGCCATCCTGGTACCCCTTTAGTTACATACTTAGCCAAATTCATGTTTTTCATGTCTTGGTACCAAGTCATGCCTTGCCGACTTGGTACCCTGTCGTTTGGCCCCCTGTTGCTATGGTTGGTATGACACCCCGTCGTATGGCCCCTGTTGCCATGGGATTCCATACTTAGCTAAATTTCATGTAGTAGTACCAAGGTTGTCTTGTCTGCCTGGTGCCCTCTTAGTGCTTGGTACCGTATTGCCTGGCTACCAAGCATGTCTTGCCGGCTTGGTACCCCGTTGGCTTCATACTTAGCCAATTTTCATATATTTTGGTATCAAGCCTGCCTTGTCGGCTTATACCCCTTTGGCTCTATACATAGTCAAATTCCATGTCATGGTACCAAGCCCTGCGACCATTATGTATGGAGAAAAGCTTGTCCACTTAGGCCCAAAAACCCAACCCAACTAGGCCCTGCTAGCTCTTTTAATTATTAATGTTGAGCTGGCCTTATAAATCCATTAAATCTCTTGTAATTAATCGATGTGGTACATCCTGATTTTTTTATGGGTAAACAGACACACATTTTAATATCCATATTCGTCTCGCACCAACGTTTGTAAGGTTGAGTAATATCCATGCGGGTATGGATCGACACAGATTTACTCATTCTCATATGTTATTCAAGAAAATGAATGTACAATTTTTTGAATTTTTTTACTATAAACCAGGAAATCCACTTCATAAATGAAATATACATAGACAGAGACACCCCTAAATTTTTGGGGAAAAATTAACGAATCATCGGTAGTAGTTTGAGTATGAGAAAGAAAAACTTAAATTAGGCATTTGTTTACGTGATTCAAACATGTGACACTATAGTTATTAGTGAACTTTTTTTCTATTAGACTTCAATTCTTTTGTTGTTGTGATTTTAACATAAACATAATTATAAACAACTACCTATTTCCAAATTTTCCGAAATCTAAAAATGAAACTCAATCCACATACTTGCTACTCTTAGCCTCAACCATATTCTCACATACAAACCAAAAAAATTGAGTCTTCGACCTCCTTCCTCCGAGAATCCAGCCATCTAGTCCTCTTTCCTCCGAGAATCCGACGATAGAGTTGACCTCGATGGATGAGAGGTGACGACTGAATCGAATTGGCGATTGTGTCGTCACTCGTCAATGATTGTCTGGTAGGATATATTAAAATAGATTTGTTGTGTACTAGCTGACTTCGGCAAGGTGAAGACTCAATCGAATAGGCAATCAGTTCGTCAATGACTGTCTGGTAGGATATATTGAAACAAATTTGTCGAGTACTGTACATAGTGAGCATATTTACAATTTTTTTCATAATACGAAAACATGTCATGGACTTTATTGTAACTCGTACTAGTCTTATATTTTCTCATTTAAGATTTCTTTTATTTTTATCTTAAGTTCTTAACACATTTTTATTTTTAGAAGACGACACCCCTACATGAAATTTCTAAATCCGCCACTATATATATATATATATAATAAATAACTGAATCCAATTGGTTGAAAAATATAAATATATTTTATTGAGTGAAAATTAGTATTTTAAAAGGGGATCTGCAAATTACGTATAAACTGCCCCATGCAAACTACAGCAGAGCTACAGTGCAAATTAACTTACATCAACCAACTCCAAAATACCCAAAACCAAGATTCGGTCGAGAGAGACAGAACCAAAAATGCTTATGATCATTTGACCAAGACCAGCTGGCAGTGGCGCTGAGTTTCGACCCTGATCTCTTCCTTCATCCTTCGTATGAACTCGTCGAATTTCCTGTTCAGCTCCTCTGTACTCAACACCGCAATTCCTTCCTCCTCTTCCTCTTCCTCTTCCAATCCCTCTCCTTCTCCTTCGTCGTCTTCGTCTTCTTCTTCGTCGTACTCCTCATGAACATCATCATCATCACTCTCTTGTAGTTCTTCCTTGCTAACAACCTTTCCTTCTTCTCTTTCATCGTCATGAGCTGCTCTTTCTTCTTGATCATGACCACCACCAACAACGCTAGTACTACTACCCTCCACCACAACAACTTCCTTGATGATCTCTTCCACCTCTTGTTCACTACCTTCATATTCTA